CTGGAAACTTACTTAATAGAATAGCTGTAGTGCACTTGTTTTCGATCACATTTTGCTTATGTAGCTGAAGCAGAGCGATTTAATAATCTGTCACAGACACGTTTGGCTCCCACCTGTGATTTTTTTTTTCACACAGACACCATGCTGCTTTATTCAATTAGATAACAATATTTTTATATCTTCATAATGGATGTTTGGTTTGTGGACAAAACATAACACAAAGAGTAGACAATAAAATTTTAAAACAACTGATCACAATCATAAGCAGCAAATAAAGGATCGTTACATAGTCTTTTTCTATTTAATGGACTTCCTCTGGCACGCTAATCAACAACACTGATGGCTATAATACCATGTATGGTGGGTGGTAATGGACACCGATATTGATCGTATCTTCGCCTATACAGAGATCCAGTATATATCACAAAAAGGAAATAACATAATGGCAAATCCCAGAACAGTAATAAAATCACTGTGTCAAATGTGTTTGAGGCTTGGAAACGACAGAGTTTGAGTCACTTGGTCATTCGCTATCTGGGGGAAGATTTTTGTTTTTCCACTGGTCCAGTAACCACTGACTCATCGGCACTGGTCAACAATCCTCTCAATCCTACACACATTTATTATGTTCAATTTGAGTGTTGGGACGCTAAAGCCCTGACTTAATGCACCTTTAATACGAGCATACAGGGGGCCAGCTGATGAATAAGTTAGTCATCAATACATAACCTTTTTCTGGCCAAACATGGTGAACACGCAGTCAGTGTTGTACTGGAGTATTATGTACTGTGAGGGTCTGTTAAAGTTCAGCCATGTCAGGATGTCTTTCTCTCTGTGTAATTTGTCTTGTGTTGGTATATTCTAGTGGCAAGTGGTGCCACAGAAAGGGGAATATCAGGTGATGGATGTTGGAAATGATTTAAGAGGACCCGTGGGTCGGCAAATGAAAAACACAGCTTTCTTATTTATTCTGTTCTGTGCTGTAGCAGCCTCAGAGGCTCCTCTCCGAAACAGGGAACAACATTGTGATGTCACATATTCACAGGGGGTGTCACGATACACCGGTGTTGATAACTGTGACTTTTAGAAAATGAAATAATGATATAGTGTTAATAACACACAATAATATCATGATGGAAGATGTTGGGCCTGGTGGATCTTTTGTCCGTCACTTCATTTGGTTGCTTTCTCACTCTCCATTAGATGTAATTGTTTTTTTGTACATTTCTGATCACAGACTCTCTCTCCACCTCCCTACACTCGTATTTGAGTCTTAATTCATTTGCCAAAAAGAGACCAAACCCACAATTAACATGAACCTAAAGATGGATTTTCTATAGATAATGAGATAATATTGTGAATTCTTTTGGTGACGAAAATCGTTAAGTGAAAATCTGATCGCTATCGTGACAGCCCTAATATTACACTTACCAAGCACTTAATTGGGAACAACAAATTAAACTGCGTAGAGCCTCCCTTTGCTCTCAAAACAGCCTCAGTGTTACATGGCATGGATTCCACAAGAGATTCACAGCATGACTGTGCAGATTTATCAGCTGCACATTCATGCTGTGAATCTCCTGTTCCACCACATCCTAAAGATGCTCTGTTGGATTCAGATCTGGTGAGGCCACCGAAGTTCACTGAACTCATTGTCATGTTAATGAAAACAGATTGAGTCGAGTTTTGCTTTGTCGCATGCAGCAATATCCGGCTGGAAGAGGTTAGAAGATTGTAAACTGTGGCCAAGAAAGGATGCACATGGTTAGCACCGATACTCAAGACAGGCTGTGGCATGATCGGTATTAAGGGACCCAAAGTGGGTCAAGAAAATATTCCCCACACTATTAAACCACCACCAGCCTGGACTGTTCACACAAGGCAGGTCAGGTCCATGGATTCATGCTTTTGATGCCAAATTATGACCCTACTGTCTGCTCCAGTGTCGGTGAGTCTGTGTCCATTGCAGCCTCAGAATTTCTGTTTTTGGCTGACAGGATGTGTTCCTCTGATGTTGTAGCCCATCAACCTCAATGTTCAACATGTTGTGCTTTCTGGGCTGCTTTTCTGCTCGCCACACTTGTATACAGTGGTTATCTGAATTACTGTAGCCTTCCTGTCGGCTCCAACCAGTTTGGTTGTTCTCCTCTGACCTCTCTCATCAACAAGGGGCTTCTGTCCACAGAGCTGCTGCTCATTGGAAGTTTTTTTTTTGTTTGTTTGTTTTTTGGCACCATTCTGAGTTAAAACTCTAGAGACTGTTGTGCATGAAAATCCCAGGAGATCAGCACTTTCAGAAACACTCAAAACACAATGAACATGCAGAGACTCTAATGAGCCTCGCTGTTGGGTGCCTAGATCATGAGCCAGCTTCTTCTCCAATGACTGGCAGGTCATTCTCTCTGCCTACAAACTCCTGGGAGAAACTTGAAAACACAACAGTAAGGTTTGTATTTTGGAGATTTTTTTTGAAACTTTATTTTAGTAAAAAGTTTTTTAGCCAATGAAGCTAAAAAAAAAATGCAACTCTGCTGACAGTGTGCACAAAACACCCCCCCCCCCCAAAAAAAAGTATTATTGAGAAATCCAGCATCTAGTTAGCAGTAAAGAGCCACTCACTGTTATTACATCTCAACTTTGAAGGGTTTTTAAAGCCCAGAGGAGAGCATGCCTTTCACCTTTCACTGCAGGTGTAATGGCCCATCATGCACAGAGGTCTAATGTAATGCGAAACTAACTTGTTTGATTAATGATGTAGTTTGGAGTCATTATCAAAACTTTCATTTAAAGCTATTATGTCCAATTCCTTTTCCCCCGTAGATCTGGCTCAAGGTCAGTGAGACAAGTGAGCTAAAAGCAACACATGGGCTGCACAGATTGGATGGATTGTTTCAGTTTTAGAATGAAAGATGACATAATCACAAAAAAACTTTACACATAGTGGCTTTAATAATAGCTTCTTCTCCTTTCGCCAAGACGTGACTTGACATCTTATTTTTCCACATTGTATTCATTAATTTAATTGTGCAGTTATGCTTTGTAGAAACAAAATCTTTATAGAAAGTATTTGAATGGGATTGTTCATGTTCTTTGAAGCAGCTGTTAACCCAGAAAGAATCTAATTAGTTTACAATGGGGACTTTAAGTGTCCCAGAGTGGCCTCTAAAAGCTGAATCTTCTTTCGGAGGCTTTTTCACCTTGACAAGAATGAAATTATGAGTCAGACAAGATTCACTAAGTACTTTATACGGGATTGCAGTGCATGTGGCGGGGCTGCTGCAGCCATCTGGGTCATGGGATTATGCTGAAGAAACGGCCTCTGTAACAGGTATTGTTAGATGATTTTTTATTAATGCCATTTTATCACTATGTCTTATTAGACAAGGAGCTGAAAAAAAAACAGTCTTCAAATTTGTTTTATGAATAATTTTTTGTGTCTTGAGCTGTTAGGCCTTTGTCGGAGAACTAACCAAGTGAAGCATCTAATGGCGCGGCACAATCAAGAACAGCATGTATCTCTTCTTTGCTGACATGCACCACAAAAAAAAAAAAAGTTTTGATTGTGCATTTAGAACTCTTCTGAAAACTTAATGACGTAGAAAGAAATGCTGCAGACATCCATCTGGTGGGCGACAGGTACACCTCATCATCGCCCAGCCTCGCTGCTGGGTAAACGCCTCAGATAAAAGAAGAACAACTAAGTTGAACTTTTTCCATAAGTGTTTTGACAAAACCTTGCATTTGGAGCAGCGATGCATGTATGACAAATAGTGGCTCCTCAGGGCTCCCCCCCCTCCTCAAAGAACCTCAAAAAGCTGGTGTCATTCTCTTCAAACTGAGTGATATTTGCATCTTCTCTTCATCGACACTCACATTTGATACATGACTTGCAAGTCCGCCGGAAGGAAAACAAGCTGGAGAGCTCATCAGACCAAGTGAAGAGAGATTATTATGGTGATGTTGCCGCTACAAACGCATTGTTTTAGAAGTAATTCCATCTAAAATTGCAGCAAATCATAGTGTAAACCTGGACATAACCTACGCCAGAGAGCCAGCACTTGCTCTGCACCCAGAGACAGCGGCCTCGTAGCTCTCGGGTCCCAAATCAGATAAGTGTCGCCGTGCATTGGGTTGAAAATCCATACTTATAGGAGTTATTTTAGTGACACTGGGCCTTTTGTTTCTCTGTAATAACTATGCAGCTCTGACAACGGCCTACTGTTCAACCAATATTAGCATGCTGATTCTCTGGTGTAGTGCTACACCATTTCTTCCAGTACAGTGTGTATATTGTTTTGGAGGCAGGAATGCACTGGATGTCCTTTGCTGTGGGAGCTAGCTAGCTTAATGGATAGCTGTCCAGCTGTATTTCAATCTCGATGGAACTAATATACTGGAACACACGGGTGTTTTCTCATGATTGAAGTGAAAAATGAAGCATGATATTATAGGGAGATGGGATCTTTGCTTTGTGCAGGGTAGACTATGTTACAAAGGTGGTGCAGCCTAAACATGGCAGGCAGATTTATGTGTGTTTCTGTCATTTATTTAGAAGCATCTCCTCCTAAATATGTGTGAACCTGCTATTAATTAAAGTACTGCAATAAATCAAGGTGTATACAAGCACTCTAATGCATTGTGCTCCAGTGAAATTAAGCTGGGATTTGTGAGCACACCTGCTCTAACATTGGTTTGACTCAGAAGTCTGCACTTAACAAAACAAAAGGTGTTGAAAGTGACCTCAGAGATTTCAGAGACAAAACAATACTTAGGAAATCAATTAATATTTTTCAGATGCTCACGTCTTTAAACTCATGTTGTCACCTTTTCCCGTTCAGCAGGTGAAGTTCATTCTAGTTAAACTGTGAAATGTTAGCTTCGCTGGTCTCTGCTGCAGCAGGAAGGGCACGGCCGCGTCAAAAGAGCCCATTGTGCTGCTGTGGTTTGTTGTGTGCCATGCAGGCCCAAGCCCATAGATGACCCTTGTTTTTTCTGCGCAGGCCTGGGTGAGGCAGATGCGAACCAGAACAATGGCTGCGTCTCGGAGAAGCCGGCGGTGACTGACTCCACAGGCGCTGAGGGCCCCCGCCAGCCCTGGACCCCCGCCAGCACAGCTGACCCTGACGCCGCCACACCACGCCCCCACCTGGCCCGCCTCTTCTCCCGAGATGCCCCGGGCCGAGAGGACAACACCTTCAAAGAGCGACCCTCCGAATCGGACGAGCTGCAGACCATCCAGGAGCACAGCGGAACGGCTTCAGAGTGTGGGTCGGATTGCCCCGAACAGGACCTAGAGTAGGCTAGCTTTTTTTTCCCTCCCTCTCCTCTCTTTTCTCTTTTCCCTCCTCTGTCCTTCAATCTCTCATTTAAGAGAGAGACAAGAACCCCACATTTGACAAATACAACTGTACTACCAACTACTGCTACCACCATGGCATCTGCAAGCTCCACACAGACCGCCTTCGGGTTGGGCCGCAGGAAGAAGAACCCCGGCCTCCTGGATCAGATCGGAAAGTTCTTTGGAGGGGACAAGAAGAGGAAGAGCAAGGTGAGGAAGCAGGGAGAGTCGAGATGAAAAAAAAAAAAAAAAACACTCGACTTTTCTCTTTGTATCTCAGTTCATTCTGCTGATTCACTCCCAGAACCACTTTTTACTTCAGATTCCTTAGAGAAGAATTTGTTGCATCATATTTGTCATATTGAAGCGTGTTGGTTTTATCGTTGTTTTATGGTGACTGACATTGTCCTACGATTCACAGTAACCAGCTGGTTATGAATCGGCACAGGATGATGACTTTGGGTGGAGTTTGTTTTATTTAGATTTTTTATTTTCTTTTATTATTATGAAGAGGCTGTGATTCTGAATCATTAACGAGTCGTTTCTATATTTTTTCTGTTTTTCTTTTGTTTGAATGGTACTGACATTAGTAGCATTTTTGTCTTCTGTTAAATTTAATATATCTGTCGTAGATGTGAAATGGTGGAATTGTTCACTTGTTGCTGCCGTAATGGAGTTTGCTTACTCAAACGTTTGACAAACTGGAGTTGAGAACAGCTGTGTTTCAGCTCAGGTACTTCCCTAAATGATGATGATGATCTTGTGAGAGACTGGGAATTGATCCCCGTATCAATAAGACATAGTACTGGTACATTTTATGGATTTTTTCAGAGGCATTGGTTTCTCTACAGAGAGTTAATGCTGCTTCCAGGAAAGTTGATTTCTTTTACTCTGGGTTAATTTCGTAAACATTCACGATAGGTCAGCCACAGGGAGGTACTTCACTACAGTCTGCACGGTGCAGCAGTCTGCTAAGTCACTTTCAAACTTAATGATTATGCTATAAATGATCAAAGAGATAGAAGATGTATATTAATATAGAGTAGGAGCACATTATCATCCCCAGTTTGGGAATATATACAGAAGTCAGAACAGGCTTATCTTATCTTGCAGACAGGTGATTATGAGGCATTTGAGCCTGCAGTGCTTTTTAATTAGCTCTAGTGTTGTCAGGATGCCGGACTTTTGCCCATTAGTAATTATGAAAGATCACTGATCAGCTCTACTTTGTCAAAACAAAACAAAAGTCGGCTCACTGTCAGTCTTTACTGTGGTAGTGAAAGCTCTGTTTGTACTCCTGGCGCCAGTTTGCCCACCACACCACTTCAGACAGACTGGGATCCGCTTCTAGTCACGATGGACTTCTTGGCACTGTTGCCATGGCTATTAAGAACCAGACTGCAGCTCTGCTGGTTCCACATCTTTTCAGCCCATGGGCCATTCACTCACAGCGATGCCCTCTGGAGGCGGTGTTGAAATGGAAATTTGGGCTCCAGCACCAAATGCGGTGTAAATGTTCCGCATTGAACATGCATTGTTATCCTGACAACACTACGGCAACAAGCTGAGGCTAAAGGCCAAAGCCTCTCGTAGACATGGCAGGGGTTGGATATGTCCCATCATGAGTCACATCTGTTCATATTGACAGCTGCTGTATAACATTAGTGATGATGGCGAAGGGAAGGCTACAGTACAGCGAGCTAAATCCTCCTCTGATTAGAAGCTTTTTTTCTTTTTTGTCCACCTTTTCTAACCCTGCGGAGCGCTAACCAGAGTGCTTTGGCACAGTATTTGCAAAGAAAACAGCATGAACATATGCATTTCCTCCCATGCCTTATGCCAACTCTGAAACGGTGTTCAGTGTAAGATTCAGGATAAAAAAAAAAAATGATTTTATATATATTGTATGCCACAAATCTTTGCTTTAGCCTGCTGTGCTGATCAGATATTGTTTTTCTTTTGTGAAATGTTACTCTTGAAATGTTCAGGGAAAATGTCAACAGAACAAATCGTGAAGCTTTCATTTAACGTCAGGTTAGTGACCAATTTGCTGCAGTATTTGTTTGATTTTTCGACTGTACATTGCAAACTGTACGTTGCTCTCCATATTGATGACAGGTTTGCTAAAAACAGTTGTACAAATATATTTATATATGTATTCACCAAGGGTTTGCCTTCAAATGACGAGTGTTCACTTCTCAAGTAAACGACAGACAGGTTAGCCCCACCTCTGTTGCCTCCAGCAAAAAAAAAAAAAAAAACAGCCTGCACTCACTTTCTGCTTCAAACATGAATTTTTCCAAAAAATTCATTCATTTTCCACGAAGACAGATCATTTTTAGCTTAATTTCTGATCTACCCTGCCTGTCTGTGTGCACAGATTCACCACAGACATTCTCAATGCATACATCGACTTCTAGGCTACAGTATTAGTGGGAAATATTGTGTCATTGTTTTCTGTTATGGACTATGATATGCATGCTTATTTCAGTAAAGGTAAATTGTTTTAATATTCGGTAGGTGTGGGGCCATTTACCATCTGATCCCTTGTGCTTTTTTATGATTTTTGTCTGATTTATTTTCTTACTTTTCGATCCAAGCCCCGAGTCCGGGCTTTGTGAAAACGTGAGAGGTAAAAAGACACGAGAGGTAATGAGAGATGACGCCAAAAATGACAAACTTGAGTCTCAGGACATGAAACAACTGCAGGGAATCTGCATTTGAATGCTCACATGTTTTTGATCACTTCAAATTACAAGGGTGGTGATGTGCTAATTGGACGGGAAATTAAGTTTGCATGAGCATTAGGCAAAAGAAGACATAACACAGTGAAAACAGCTTATAGTGATTGATCACTCTGAGGAGATGATTATTGCTTTCCTTTATTTCTCATAAAGATTACCATCTAATTGATGTTTGTATTTATTACATGACTATAAAGTAATGAAACAGCTTCACTACTTACTGCTTTAAAGATAACAATAACCTGATGAAATAAACCTCTTCTGCTCCAAGTCTAGACTGAATGGTCAACATCACACTCCACTCGCGTAACACACCCGCTGCTGTGAGAGAGCGGGGACGATAATTACAAACTGTAAAAGTCCCAAATCGCAGGCAGAGTGGGAAAAATAAGTCACTGAGCCACGACAGTGAAGATATCACATGGCACATGAGTGCACATTGAACTTGCGTTAGGAGAGCAGGCAGGGACGGTTGTTAGTGGGCATTACACACTGTGGCTCCAAAACCTTGTACAAATAGGTTAGAAGAGAGCCTCAGCATTTGACAGTTTGCAGTAGTAGGTTCCAACATTTCTGTTTGTCCTTATGTATGAAAAGACCCAAAATGAACACTGTAATTGGACTACTTGATTACTATAAACAGCATTTGTATGGGAATGATTCTGTCCCAAACGCTTTGATCACTATAAGCAGTTTCCACTGTGTTTTTTTAAGTTATAATTAGCATATTAATTAGTTGAATAAGACAGTATCAGGCATGTAATGATTGCTGGAGTGATTACTGTATATGAAATCAGGCTTTCGCAGAACAGCTCGCAGTCAAAACCAAAACTTGTGTGATAATGTACTCTAACCCCAGTGTCTTGGATGGAGAGGGTGGTGTCAGCCGTGCTCCCTCCCCCCATCAGTTACCCCACCTCAGGTTCACATGTCTTTGACCCAGTCGGAGAGTTTGTTTGAAGCAGCAGTGGATCAGTGACGATCCCTGTTTTTGTAACGCCTTCAACTTTGCAGTGGATACTTGTAACCGTTTGTATCTGTTGTGAACTGTTGTGACCGGTGACCTGTTCCTAACCTGATCCTGTTCTAAGCTTTTTGGATTATTGCTTGATTAAAACTCTTTAACAACACCCTCAGCTCTCTCTTTGTTTTGTTTTAATTCGTGTTCGGCTTGATGTCTCTCTCTTTTTCGTTGTTCTTCTGTTGTGAAAGTGTGAGAAATTGTTTTAACTGCTCTGCTAACACCTGCTCTGATTTGTTGTTACTCCCAATTTTGAGGTGGAGTTCCAATTTTTTTATGTTTTGGACCCAAACCACAGAGAAAAGCCACCAGATGTAAAACACTTTACTTTCAGCATTTATTCTGCGTGCTTGGGCTCTGTGTGCAGACTCAGCCTTTAAGATTATAGACCTTAAGACTAATAAATGTATTTCACAGTTCAGTCAGTCAGTCACATCAATGCGTAGACTGCAAAACAAAAGGAGTTATCAGAGAGGGTTTAATGAAAACTTTATCTCCATTCTGATAGCACTGAGTAACGGATGACAGGCTTGACTTGTTTGTGTGAGCGTAAAGACAAAGAGAAAATAAAACACCTCCTCTTTTTTTTTTTTTTTTCAAAATTCTGCGAACACCTCATTGGTTTTGTTTCCTGGAGACAAAAGCAAATTTAAACTAATTTCCACTCAGATCAGAGAGAAGTGTTGCCACATTTGAGCCATTTAAACCACATCTAAAGAACATGAACAGCAGCGTGTTCGTGCGGATCGCCTCTCCTGTGACTTCGTCTCAGCAATTGAGTCGGCACAGGCTCATTTAAATTTCTGTTTGAGATGCAAAAATGTGCGATTATATTCATCTCTTGGTTAGACCGAGAAACACCCTGGCACCCTGGCACAGGAGATTATCACGCATTGAAAACAAACACTGTCCAGGAGTTTGGACAGACATGGCATTTTAATTACATTTAAATACAAGCTGCAAATGATTGATACTGCAGAATTAACAGCAGCACTGCTTTATCAGTCACACGCGAAAGAAGACGGTGCAGCCTCTGTGCGTGCAGCCTCGGAGTTGGAGAAATTAAAAGTGCAAATATCACTCAAGCATTTCATTTGTAGGATTGGGTTATGTGCTACTTAAGGGACCGTATGAAAATCACCGGGGGTGGGGAGGTCTGATTATTCCCTGAAAAAAAAGATGTTGTACTCATTAACTTACTCAAAATGTATTATTATTGGTATAATTACAGCAAAACTAAAAACCTTAGGCTACCCTCCCTCAGGAAAAAAATAACCCTCCTTTTCTAAAATTCTTTTTTTTTTTGTTCATCACTCCTAAACGACAGCGCAGATAATTGCTTAATTAGCCCCTTTTTTTACTTGGTATTTGATCTTGCGGGACACATGACCTGATTGCCTTTCCGAGGGGTGAACAGCGAGCTGCGGCTGCTGTGTTTGCGTTTCTCCACTGCCTGTCAAACTGCTATGTTTGTCAGCCCGATCGATTGGCCCCTCGCTCCCTCTGTACATAAATCTGAGCGAGCACAACTACAGAGGAAAATAAATAAATAAATAAAAAAACAGCTAGTCCTCAGAGTTGAATGCAATTATTATCTCTTTCTTCTGGCTCAGCAAGGGTGCACATGTTGATGGATGTGAAGCACCCTGCAGAGCGTGATGCAGCCAGGCTGTCATCTGGAACTCTGCTTCCTAACAACCACTGGGGGGCAGAGAGGCTAATTGTGAGTAAATGGATGAATGAATATGTGAAAGAGTGCCGTCTCCTCCGGTTCACCGCTGCAGAGTAGAAATCTGCAGCTCATTTTCCAGAAAAAAAACAGGTATCTTAACTAGTATATTTTGTTATGATGTTGATCCATGAGGGTTTTTCTCTAATGATAAAGATTGAGCGATTCTCAGCCATGAATCTCCCAAGTCTTCCCCCTCTTCAGGATTAATTATTAAGCATCATTCATAATGAAGCAGACTCCTGGCCAGGCAGTGACCTCTATCCTCAAAGGGGCCAGCTGTGATCATTAACCTGCACGAGAACCATGTATCTCCGTCTGTGTCCTGAATCCCGATGACTGGCTTCTCCCTTTTTGGCATCATTATAATTGATTATTTGAAATGTTTATCAGTGTTTGAAATAATTTCAAAGAAAAGAAAAAAAGCAAATATGCATATTTTGTATTTTGTGTAAATTATTTTCATGAATGATTTTTTTAGTCTAGTCTGCATCCTAAAATAAACTAGCTGCAATTCAACCTACTGCCCCTTTTTAAAAGCCAGGAAGTAATTCCCTTTCTTTGTGTTCTGCTATTCATATTCCTTGTTACACGGATAAAAAAAAATAGAATAAGAACTGGACAAGAGAAACAGCAGCTATTACAAAAAATCTATTTCAGGAAATCCAAAGGACAAGTGTTTGGATACTGGACATGCTGATCTATACACAAATCCACCGTGATTGTGTGTGTTTGTATGTGTGTGTGTGTGTTGCAGGCAGATGAAAATGAGCTCTTTCATGTCTCCCTGCACCTCCTTTTCTCTCTCACACGAGCTGAAGCTGAATCGCTTCCCCTCAGACATCAAACAGGGGATCAATGATTGCGACCTCCAACTGAAGCGAAACTTTGAGAAGAAAGTTTAAAAAGCTGAAAATGGCAGCATATCCTCAACGCTTAACCAAAATGGCTTTTCATTTAGCAGCATTTTAATAACAGCTCAGACTTGGCAGAAAGCCTCAGTGTCACTGCTCAAGATTTGAAAGCCATCATCATTAAGCGTACGCCAGCAGTTAATGGAAATCTCATCTGTATTTTTTCCCCCTCCTAAGATGTGTAATATTCATTTGACATTTGGATGCATCTGCTTTAGCAGATTGAATAAGAATCCTCACAAGAGTAGTTTTTATTTTTTTGTGTTGTTTTTTTTAGCTTTTTCAAATGGAAAAATAAAGTGTTTTAATGCAGGAGAAGAGAAGAGAACACACACACAGAGAGGAAACGCAGAAACTCATTCGCATCAAAGGGACAAACTGGCTGGAATTGAGACTGAACCAGCCAGAATTCATACAGCGTTATTTGATCTCCTGTTTCTTCTCCCATCTCTACCTCCTTTCTTCTACTTTCCAGCCAAACAAAGGTGCGGCAGTGGCCACCAAGGTTGCTCTATTTTCTCCCCTCCCTTTCATTTCTCCTTCCATCATGTCAGAAACAGACATGTAGCACATGCAACACACACAGACGCGCGCACTTATGCAAGAGGACATCATTAAGGGGTCACGACTGAAGCACCGGGGAAGCTGCAGAGCTTGAATACACATGCTGACATCAACAACAAGAAAGGACAGATTTAGTCCTATTCAAACAGTTGAAATAGTCATTTTACTGTAATACATGTTTTTTCCTTTTGTTATATAAGATATAATAATCCACATGTCCATTTGGGTGGATTGTGCTTCTCTGTATTGCTCTAATTGTTCGACGGTCCATTTTCACAAAACCCCCAAAAAGACGGTAAAGGTGGCGCATAATGCAACACAGCGCGTCTATCATGTTGTATAAATGGTGGTGGCGGTGAAAGTTTCCTCCCTTTTGGTTACCTGAAGGTTCTTTGATGTGAGATAATGGATGTGAATCATCAATCGCAATAGCTCTCCACACACACACACACACTCATATAAACACACACACATTTTCCTGTTGCATTAATGGGGTCAGAGAAAGGGATGAATGAGGTAACATTAACTGAAAAGTGGGTGGAAATTAGTTTTTTTTCCCGTGGGCTGCAGGTTGTTGATGGTGTTTGGTATTAGAGGAATCATATCTTTACACCTTTAATGTGTCTGTGCTGTTTGCATTAGTTAATAGAGGATTTCTTTTAGTTTTTATTCAGGCCTAAAAGACAGAGGATTTCGATCTTATAAAGCATTTATCTTGACATGGCCTTTGTGAAGCCTGACTTTGAAGCACTTGGCTGCATTGATTTGTATTTTGGAAGATAATTACTCTTCTTTGTTAAGATAAAACGGACAAGAAAATACTGACAATTGTAACTGCTCATTTGTTCCACTTTAATTTGTTTTTAATGACTCGTGACCAAAGGTTTTCGACAGTTTGGGATAAGGGTTAATGAGGTGGCACTGTCTGAGGCGTGGGGCTGCTGCTGACTGAATGATTGTCTGCGGGTGGGTGGGAGTTAATGGGAGGTTTTTCACAAAGTAAACTCAGCAGAACTAAACATCAAAACGTATTCTTATTCAGAGCTGTTGCATCTCAGCAGCCACTTCTGTCTGTGGTAGGAGTATAAAAGATGGTGGAAACTGACAATCTTCTGTGTAAAAACATTCAAATTAACCAAATTTCTGAGCATGGCTGAGCTGTAGATTCTTGTTGCTTTCCTTCACTGTCATCAACTACAGGTAGCCCTCTAACGCTCATGCTACATGCCCACCATCACAAATGGTACATGCTCTGAAGCATTGTTATGCAAAAGTTGCATATTGCTGCATTATGTATTAAATCACAATCCGCACCACATTAGCATCTGCTTACTTGAATAACAGTAGGCCATCCGCATGATCTATAAAGAAAAAAGTTATTACACAACCTACAAATTAATTCCAAGTTCAATTAAAAAATGAATTATTCTTAACATTTCAGGTAAGTAACCCCTTTTATATGCAACAGTTTTGAGCTGCTGCTGTCTCCCATCAGCCTTTGGCGCTATGGCAACAAGGGATGGTGTGCTTTTGTAAACGGTCCATTAAAGAGTGAATCATTTTGTAATTTTGGTGTTTTTTATTTTTCATCATTCAACAGGTAAGTAGAACAAGCAACAAGACAACATATACAAAACTGAGTATTATTTCAAGTATTCATTAATTTGATCCCAAGGAGGTGTTATAATAGAAGCAATAATTTCTTGGCTGTAGTAACAGGACCTTACTTTATCAGATAAACTATTAATCTTAAATGTAATATTAAAGATTTTATATGAGCAAGTATCTCAGAGTTTAGAGTTAAAGCCCAAGTAGCTTTAGTAGCTGCATGAGCGTACATTAAATATGTGTGTCTGTTGTTCCCTTCCTTTCTTTTCATTTCCTTTCCAGGGATCTTTCCGAGGTGCTCTCTCTCCAGGTCCTCAGAAAGCCTCTGCGACTTCCCCACGTAAGCGTGGAGCAGAGAACGCTGTGGTCCATTTCTTCCGCACGATCGTAAGTAATGCTCAGAATGAACTCTCATATCTCTTAAGCGCTCACAGTATCGGAGGTCAGACATCTCTAAGTACATTAGCAGTGCTCTTTCCTTCCAATATTCCTCCATGTTTGTCTCTTTGCTGCTCTGATACTTTTTCCTCTCCTGATTTCTTACTAACTCTATAAAACCTCTTTTTCTCTATGTTATTAACTCTTCTTCAGGTGTCCCCTGCCCCTCCTAAGTCCAGGGTGAGTCTTGTTTACATTGCTACATTTGTATAAGTTAAAATTTAAATTCATATACAAACATAATACATAACACATATAAATACATACATAAATAGATGAATGAAGACAAGTAATGAAGTAAATATGGAACAATGTCTTTACTTATAGTGTAATCTCTAGACCATTTACCCTCCAGCATACGATATTCATTCATTTTCAATTATTGTAATAATGGATAAATACATTATATTAAAATAAGACAGCAGTTAGATTACTGAAACATCGCTGCGATATCCAGAGTGATGGTAGCACATCCTGGTTTAATAATGATCAATAAAAGAAAGTTAATGTGAATGACACTAAACAGATCTTATTTGTAAGACGCTGTGCTCCCACAGTGTTTTATTGACTATTGCAATGCAGCAGTTCTCACGAGATGATGATTTAACACCGGTTTTTTGTAGAATTTTGTAACGGTTGGATAGCACCATGCTAGGAGTTTCCCCTTTTTTCCAGTGTTTATGCTAAGCTAGCTGTAGCTTCACCTACAGACAGAAAAAAAGTATCTATCTTCTCATCTAATACTTTGTAAGAAAGTGAATATTATATATTGGGAGTATTTCCCACAATGAAGAGCTGTTCATTTAAAAGGCTGCACTGTTGTGTTGATCTATAGTGTACTGTAGGCAAGGGCGTAGGTTTGCATATGGACATGTCCCTACCAATATTTTTATACCTTACTATACTATAATTTACTATACCATATATTTCATATATGAAAATTCAACACATGCACATATATTACATTTGCATATGGGCATTTCTGAATGTAAATTCAGATCTTATATGTCAATAAACCCTTTGGTTGATGGCATTAAAAAGCCAATCTCTCCGATGTTGAGACCAAACCTACGCCCTTGACTGTAGGCCTCTGGCTTTGTTGCTTCTGAATGTCACTAAACTTGTGCTCTTTTCAATGTGAGCATCTGCCTTGCTCCTCTCTCCTTTACCCCACATATCTGCCCCCCTTTCCTCTGTTCCTCATCTGCTCCTGCCCCCCCTGTGACCCTGTGACCGTCCTCCCCCCCCCCGGACGGACCCTCCCACCTGCTTCCTCTCCTTCCCATCCTGCCTTTGCGATGAGTAAGACACACATTTCTATTTGTCCCCCTCTCTCGTTTACCTCTTGTCCTTGTCTCTTGTCTCTCTGCACGTCCAGTGGAGAGGACTAGCAGCCAAGATAGGCCTGGTAGGTGGTTTGAAACTGCAAAAACACAGAGGTATCATGCCTAATTAAACTGAAGCAAGGGCAAGTGAGGTCATCCTCTCAAACTGCCTTTGAGCGTGACCCCTGTGGCTCCATTTCCATTTCGTCTCCATCAACCTCTTTAGCCGCCGTCATCTGTCCATACATTAGAGATAACGCCCTCATTTCCTTCCAACTTAAGTCCATTTTCAAATAGGTCATCCCCATTCTGTATCTTTGCTGCCTGACTCATCCACATCATGTGCACATATTGTATATTCATGATAACACAGGCATTATTCTGTTCTTCATTATCCTCGTTTCATCTCAAAATTCCTCTGTGGCTGGCTGAAGTGAGGCTGCCTTCTGCTTCATTTGGCGACGTTATCAACACTTAATTTAAGATCCTAGTGAATGTGCATGTGTGTGTGAGAGAGTGCGTGTTTGCTTATTCTGAATCACGAAGCAGCAGAAGCGTACTTGGAGGTAAAAGGTTGAAATGATGTGGACAAAGACTTTGCTGATAACTTTCATACAGTCCCTTAGCAATCATTTTCTTACAGTCCCTAAGTGCTTGTCTAAGGGGATGAACTTAAAATCAATTCCTATAGTTCATTTTCATGCCGATATGATCAAACAGACCTCTGTTTTTTGCTTTTTCCATAGCAATGATATTTTTGAAGCCTTACCAGAATAAAATACATTTGCTCCATGGTATCTGCTGTGAATAAATGAGCTTCCTGAATGTCATAAAGACACAACAGAAACCAGACTCTTCAAAAACTGATTAGCATTGGGTTTTGCATTTGCAAAGTGTCAGCACATGGTCATACTGCTGTAACTTGCAGGTACCAGATGACATGGCCATGAGAGCCATGAACCTTCAATTTTTTAGAAAGTCAACTGCTATGCGATGAAGTCTTCTCTTCTTTTTATCTAAAATATGCAAACAGGAAAGTTTTCCCCTTTCATAGCAAACTGTGCTGCTTTGTAGCTTTTTTAGCACATGCATAATTCACACAAATGTCCTGTAAAAGTAGGGTGGAATTGGATTGCACCAGAATCGATATCTGGTTTTCTCCGATACTTTAGGTCTTTTGTAGAGCACACTCCTCCATCACCCCTGAGCACAACCTGGAGAAGGAGGTCTTATATATTATACTCTCTTTACTCATTACTCCCTGAAAAAACAGGGCTCTCTGTCACATCTCAGTCCCCTGCCAAACATGTCCAAGACTCTTTGAACACCCTGACTCTCTCTCTCCCTCTGCTAGGGCGACCAGAAGTCACAGTCCGCTAAAGGCAAGAAGGCCAGTGCAGGGGATGGCAAAGGCACCCTGACTAGGATCTTCAAAATGGTAAAGAAAAACTCCTTGTCAGACACTTTCCATTTTATTTCCCAGTGGCTTCTCTGCACTTCTCTTTCCCGGAAATGAAATTGCAGAGAAAATGGAACATTTCTCTAATCACTGTCTTGCCCATTTCTTTTCTGCCTCAGTGATGATATCAGCAGCAGAGTGAGTAACTGATACCTGATGGAGGATAGTTGAGTTTAACTCACTGCACATTTGTTCAACATTGATATGCTTAGAAGACATCTTAACCTCATTATTACTGCAGCAGCAGCAGAATAATAAGAGGCTTTTTGAGACAAGATTGGTCATCGTGCGTGCCACAAGCTTTATGCCAGCTCTGATATAATTATGTTGTAGATGGTGGATCCAGCTCTGGTCAGGGTCCAGCGGGGCTATAGCTAACATACTATAACTGCTTTATAGGGAAGGGGTTGCTTATGCACAATGTATAATATAACACTATCATGCAATCTCATCATTCACTTGCCAAGCACGAAAAGCTCCTTCAGGTACTTTGGTGGACGCGCTGGTGGTAGAATATAAAACTGATTATCAGACACACACAGTCCTGTTGTGCTGATATTAAAGATCTGCAGATTTTTTTTTTACATACTTACTAGACATAACTGTAATAGCAGGGATGACAACAGCAAAGTGTGTTAAACATTTTTCCAAATATAATATAAAGCAGTTAGCAGTCTGCTAACATGTGCAAGATGTCAGTGCTGTACTTACAGTTTATTCAGCCCAAGATCGGAAAAAAAAACATTAATAAACAATATTTACAACTATATTATAATGTGTTGTAAAGAATTTTTAATCATCTATAGTTCAAGTGCTTAAAAATATGAAAGAGAGGATTTAAAATAAACTTGACCTGAACTCCTTGTCAGCATCACATCCTCTAGCTAGTGCTGGCTTAGGTCTGTTAGCTAGTGTGTACTACGGACGACAGTGGTGAAATAACAGATTCCCTGTCACAGAAAAAGTGTGTTTGTCTGTACTGAGGAAGTGACCTTGGTATCAGTTTTTGGTCAAAAATGAATTGCACAACATTAAAAAAAATAATAATAATATGCTATCAAGTAACTCTACCAGGTCAGAGCTGAAGTTGTTGATAACCTAATTTTTACATATTTGGAGCACAGATGGAAGTTTTCTGTTCTCCTGTTATGACTAAGTGAAGTTTGGTTCTCCCACTCGAGTTTCAGGATATTCAATGTGATACTGATACTGAACACTTACCCAGCTTTTCAGCCTTGGTACATATTTATTAGCACTTAGTTTAGACTGCCATATTCATAACTGCTTGATTTTCCAATTTACAGAGAAGCTCCTTATTAGTTGATTTATTTTTCATATGTCATGAAAGGCAGCGACGGCTTTCATGCTCTGCCAGTTTTTCAGGTTTTAATTAGCCAGCCACTCTCACTGTAGGCCTATCATAGATTAGTTGGTATAACAGTTACTAAAGGTGAGGAGAAATTCAAATTTCCCTGGGGCTGCATCTCATCTGTAGTGGCTAAATTGTTGTCACGAAGCTAAAAGAGAGTAAACAGCTCTGGAGATGAAGAACTTCTGGGATGCTCATTTCAAATCTCCCTGATACGACTAATTAGCACTGACTCAGTGCCATCACACCATCACTTCCATTTCTTCTGCACATAGATGGCACAGTGCAAATGGAAATGAGCATAAAGCCATAGTCACTTTTAATTAATGTTTCACACTTTGTTTCTATTCAGAGTCTGCTTTCAGTTTAAGATTTAAATCTAAGTGCGGCTGCTACATATTGACTTTTTCTCTTTCATGACAGATAATGAATTTCATCTGGAATGGCTATAAGAATAGCTTAGAACAAAAGCGCAGTCCTCAGCCTTCATTTTATCAGGAGGAGTAAAAAGCTTCTCACAATATGGATTATCTTCTTAAGCAATCCATAAAGATTTGTCTCATTTGTATAATCTTTCCCCCTTTCAGAGTGCTCTACTCTTCTTACGTTTTCAACTGAATGAGAGAGTGGGAAGGAAAAAGAATAATATAGTTTCAGAGATGGCTTTGTAATTAACACAGAATATGTGATCTGGAACTTTGGGAACAAAAAACAAATGGGAAACTGGGAGGTTTTGCCTCTGAATGAATTAAATGCCTAAAACCTCAAGGAAAACACATTAACGGGATCTGTGAAGCAACATGTAATAACCTGTGGTCAGGGGATAAGCTGCAACCTTAATTCCAACTCTCAAACAAAACAAATACATAAGAAGTAGAAAGAAAAAAGTGAATCAGACTTTTTAAGTCAAATTTTTTGAAATACTGAGGAATAGCCTACTGAGTCAAAATTTGATTTTTTTGAGTCAGAATGTTCTCCTTTTTTTCTACACACGTCATAAGTTTGACTTAGTTTATCACATTTTCACCTTTTTTCTCATAATGTTGTTTTACTCTCTGATAAATGTGACTTTATTTCTCATCATTTTGACCTCTACTGCACACTTTTCACTTACTGTATTTTGACCTTTGACTAAATTTGACTTAATATTCTATAATTAGGCTAACTTGTGCATAATTTTGACTTCAAATGTCACAATTTTGACATAGTATCTCATAGTTTTTGACTATTGTCCCAGAATTCTCCACATTTTCACTTTGTGTCTTACAAGTCTAGATTTAGTGTCTCATTGTTTTATTTTTACCATTCCCAACATTTCTTTTATGTTTTGTTCTCCTGGTAGAAATCATCTTCTACACTCATGCATCATTATAAGCCGGAAAAATGCCCACAAGGATGGCTTACTAACCTGCTCATTTCTCACTTTACAGGACTACTCTGACTTTTCAGTCTTAAGCCCTTCTCTCATTATTCAGTAGCAGAACCTATTACAGCTGAAGTTGAAGTTAGTTAATTTAGTGGTGTGTGACTACAACTCTCAGGGTTGATGAAAGAGTTGGCAAAGCCTGATGAAATACTTTCTCTCTTCTTCAAATACAACTTTTCTCACACAGAAAGTGACAGGTTTGGCAGAGAGCTAATATTTTTAAATGGGTGATGACTCATAATGGTCGTCATCAGTGGTGAAGAAATTTATTAGCTACAATTACCTATTACTTAATATAGTTTTTGTGAGTTTGTCAAGTGTTGGCAAGGGCAAGGGCCCCGAGACAGAGGTGAATCCTCTCATCACAGACTGAGTGAAATGACTGATGGGCCGAACTCCAAAAACATCAGAGTAGTCCTTTAATGCTGAGGCAGACCTGCAGGGCTGCCGCCTCTACACATTCACCACATATGTCTTGTCTGTTACACAGGGAAGCAGGAGTGCTTCTCCAGCCAAACGCTGAGGTCCCTCTCCACACCCCCTTCCAACAGCACGAGGGCAGATGTTCAAGAACACGGGACTAAAGTGGGGGAAAAAAAAAGAGGAAGAAAAGGAGGAAATCTTATCACCCCTTACACTCACCTTCCCCTCCGCCTCTAATAACACTCTAATGTTCGCTAAATCCCTCATCTCTCCTGTTACCGTCCCATCCCTTTGGCTGGTAGATAGCGACACAATCTGTTGCCCCCATCTCCCCCTTCCCCATCCTCACCCACCCTTGCATGCGTTGTGCTGAGTCTGTGCAGTCATCATCATTGGTGTGAACTGTTTGCTGAAGTTGATCCTGAAGCCGCTCACATGTGCAGCCTGAATGACCCCCTGACCCCTGCCATGGCTCTCTCTCTCTCTCTCTCTCTCTCTCTCTCTTGCTCTCTCTCTCTCTTCATATTTACTTGTGCTTAAGTTTCTGTGGACGTCTCTCATGGTTTCTCTAACAAAAGGTGGCTGAACTGAAGCAGACCTGGAGTTCTCGAAAGTTAAGGCCGGTGTGAGTCCGACTGACTCGACCGTCATTGCCGCTTGCTGATTGGATGAAAAGGCCGGGTTGTTTCTGTTTTAGTAAAGAGCGATTTTCTGTCTCGTCACACTGTCTTTTGTCGTTCCCTCGAACCTCCTCCCCCTGCACCCGAACATAAACCTGTGTTTGAGTTTTGTTTTGTAATAGATTTAACAGATTTTACATTATTATGAGAGCCATTTTGGTCTTTGTGTGTTTTCATTCAACTCTTGTGTCTTAGCTGTAGTTAAGTGTCCTGTCCTGAATGTGATGTTGATCTATGTTTGTCATTAAGGCTGTCTGTGGATTTTGTGGTAAAAGTTAAATTTCTAAACTTTCTAAATCAATTTTCTGCAATAGTTACTGAAAGAAGCAGAGAAGTTTCTAATGCATCTGTAACTAAATTATTTCGTAGTGCACTATTTTCCACTTTTAAAGCCTCCAGACCCTGAATCTGAAACATAAAGCCAGATTCAGACCATTCATCTATGCTTTAGTGTAGTCTCTTCTTTGTCTTTGTACGCACAGCACAGATTCTGTAAATGCCTTTCCTCCTGACTACCAAAAACAATGTGCTGTGTTTCTGTTTTGTGAATAATAAAAAAAAAAAAAAAACAACACAATTTCAAAAAGGTGCTCTGTAACTAACTATGTATTTACAAATTATAAGTTGTTACTTGAGAATGTGCAAAAGTTTTCTGGCACCAAGTCAGTCAAAGAAAAGCTCAGCACTACCACTTGTGCTGTTCCCAACATCTATCTTTCAAAAAGCCGGCATGCGTGATGTGTAGCGTCCATCTCTCCTACTGTTTGTGTGTGCTTGAGCCTCTTGAGTGCTGTGTGGTGGTTTTTGTTGTTTTTTTTTTTTCTGAATGGATCCTGTGAATGAATGTAAAGATCCTCCTCATTATTGTATGTGTAATAAAACATGACCAGCCACTTAACTGAGAATAAAAAATAAAAAATTATAAAACCAGCTCTACTTTCTGCCTGGTGAAGTGTGTGCTTTGTCTACCTTGGCCTGATGCAACAGCAAATGACGCAACATTCAAAAAAAGAAAAAGCACTGAAGCAAAGGTAAAAGTGGTTTCACTGGGTGCAAACAAAGCTATGACGGTTTCTTTCATGAAGCCAAAATTCATGACTCACTGGCTAATCATTATTCATGCCAAGCTTTCCAAGCTACTCATGACTGGAGCACCATTCAGACTCAAGTATAATCACACAGAGTATATGCATTTTCATGTCATGTTCAAATGATGGAAGCACACAAAGGCTGGATGTGGCACAGAAAATGTGAACGAAACACACTGGGGGCAACTTTCAATTCATATATCCCCAAGAAAACACGGTGGAAATTATTTTTTACCTCATGTTTCATAACAACACATTTTCAATCCCTTTAAATAACCGGGTCATGTTTTCCCACTCAACATCTTTCTATTGATTCATCGATCCAACTGTATGACACTACTTTGAAGCTGGACAAAAGTATACAGACATATTATGGTTAAATACACGCAGTAGAAGAAATAACTAGATTAACAGTCTGTAGTTGGCAGACTAAATTGCGTGTGGTGTGTGGTGAGAGTGTTGTAAGCGAGAGTGAAAAAGTATTTCAGAAAGAAATTTTCTCAATGAAATTGTTTGACATTTTAAGAAAGTTAGATAAGATTGATTCAAATTAGCTTAGGTTAGCATAAAGACCAGAAGCAGAGGGAAACAGCTGACCAGACTGTCCAGAGTTGAAAGAAATAAAAATCCTCATATCACCAATTCTAAAGTGTTAAACTCAAAACAGCCCTGTGTTAGAATAAAGCAGCAGTTATTGTGTTAATGGAGGCGTTGTTCAAGGTATTAGTGAGACATGAAATCTGATTCGAGGCTGGTTTGAGGAACGATGTTTGAAGCCTTATTAAACACCAAAACACAGAACAGGTGTTCATAATACTATGTGACAGGATTTCACAGCTCTTGAAAGATATCACGCAGTAATTATTTTATCTTCCGTTGTAATGTTAGGTGGTAAATAGAAATATTGCGCTTGAATTACTAAATAATTTACCAAGAGTGTGTGCTTTCATGTTTTAGATTGGCCAGCGTAATGACTTGAAAGAAGATGCTGCATTTTGCCAGACGACGGGAGCCCTGGCAGCCCAGCTGAGCGTAGCGGACTGACGGATAAATAAATAAAGAGGTTTTTAACATGCACGGCTAAAGTTGGACTGCACAAAAGAAAATGTGATTTCACGGGGAGTTATTTCATGTGGAGCAGAGCCAGGCTAGCTGTTTCCCCTTGCCTCCAGTTTTTATGCTAAGCTAATCTAATCACCTCCTTACTCTAAGTGCCCAGTGATGTCATGAGAGGTAGTGTCATAGAGGGGTGATACATTCCCTCCCAGTAGCTGTAGCAAGGACTACAACCCATCATGGCTTTCAGCAAGACTACAAATCCCAGTCAGCAGGGCAGCCAGGACAATGGTTGCTGCCCAGCTGAAGCATATGAGCTGATCGCTGTGGTGAGGAGAGAGACAAGTGAAGAGAAACAGTAGAGGAGAGACAGAGAAAAGACTGAGGCTATAGGGAGGGGGGATCAGATGTTTTGTTATAAAGAGAAAGAGATCTGCATAACTGTGTTCTTTGGTTTTGTTGATCCTCTGGCTTAAGTGAATTAAGTTGGCCTGATTTGAGAAGACTGAATATACTGAATTTAAATACAACGCCTCACTGTGTGAATTTCCTGCACCCACGCCTCAAACCTTCAAGATAAAAGCTCCCTACCTCGCAAGACGTCACGGTCCGGTGAAGTTTTCTTGTCTTTACATTTACCCTTCAACAGAGCGCATGTCCTTGAGGTCTTAGAAAATGTGCTGAATACACATAACAAGATGATTATAGAGGCGATTTTTAAATTGTGCATCGTTTTACATTCATGTTTGCTAGTTTGCAGTCTCCTTCCTTCTTCCCCGTTGCTATCCCTCTTTCCACACTACTGTTGCCAACTGTCAACTAGCAAAATAGCATGAAACCACTTGAACAGCAGCGTACCCGCAATACAAACCAAACAGGGACCCACATTGTTCCTACTGGTTGTCAGAAACTCCACAGGGGACCTTTAACACACAGATGTATCGTCTCATCTCACTCTCAGTGAGACAGTGAATAAGTGCATGTTCGAAATAAGGACATTAAACATCATTTGTATTGTAATAATTAAGGCACTAAGCAATAAAAAGAAAAGAGCTTAAATTAGTAGAAAAATTACTTTAATCTTCTTAATTTATTATGGACAATAGAAAATACAACTGCAAAAAAGAGGGAAAAAACAGCTTATTATCTGTACATCGGATTCGTTTCATAACAACTTCAACATTATGTCCAAATTACGTATTTCCAACAACTCCATGTTGTGGCAGTTCATCAGAAAATATACACAATCTAACTACACTATTTACAAAATGAACTACTGTACAGACAATGTCTGTGTTGCGGATTTAAATGATACAACAACAGGAAATGCAATGTTGACATGTTCAGTCAAAAAGCTGCAACAGCATCAAACCCAGAACAGTGTCCTCACAGCTCACTGGCAATCTTTACAGACATGTGTGGCGCTGCTTTCTCACTAAAACATTTGTAACAAACTGCAAGTGACGTTTCACTTCAAGATGAAATATGTACAGTATAAATAAGTAAAAAAAACAACATAATTAAAAAAAGACAGATTTCTCATAAACCAGTGAAAAATGATTTCTGTGTTATGTGCTGTTCCACAGTTGCTTTTGAAGTGATGACAGCAGTAGAGTAGTTTGCAGCTACGCGTACGTCCCTGTGAGCAGAGCAATAATGAAGACACGAGACACAAGACACCTGTTTTTGGGGAGCTTTTTCACACAGTTCAGTTTCCTCTCTTTCCGACAGGTTCAGCGCTAGAGGGACCTGCGTCTCCTGGTTGGAGAATCCTCTGGGATGCCTGCGTTTATTGAGCCAAACCTCTCCGGAGGTTATCATGTTGATAACAATCAGACAGTAGCAAAACAGATACAAGTCATTAAGCCAATCAGAGGGAACCAGGCTCCTCTTACTTCACTGCTAATTTGGACAAACAGAAAGGGACAGCAACTAGAGAAAAAGCCCTCAATATACAGTGGAGCATATGGAAAATGTTTACTAACCCTTTTTAGAGGAGGAATATGTTTGGCAAAGCTTTGTTGTTTAGTTGTTGAACAAAAATCAGTGCTTAGTACACTGTACAGTGCTTTCTGACTCCTGGGACTCCTGGTTTGTGGTCAGGGGAAGACATTTTGCCAATCTCCGGATGATTCAGGAACAACCTCCAGGTCGAGTTCAGGGGTGACCTCCACCTGAGGTGCCGTTTCTTCTTGGCCCAGGGACACTTCCTGGATCTGACCTGGAGGGAGAAAGAGAGAAAAGTGAAGAGTGACTCTCATGAACTCAAATACTCCCTGTGATGGGTAAAAACAGTGCTTCGTAAACCAGAAGACAAGCCCATTAACATGCATTTACAGAGCAGAACCAGCAGCTCTGATTCTGTATTCAGTTTGCCAGAGGCTGTCATGCAAATGAGACCATCCGTCAAAAAAGCAATCCTCCCTCCCTCACTCCTCCAACACTTGTTTTAATATCTCACATCCTCCCTGTTGGCTCTTTCTTCGGAAACCACCATGTCTATTACACAAACTGTATAATGAGACCTGACAGATGTGGAAGATGCTCATTGTGAGTTGTAAATATGGCATGAGCTCTGTGTCACAGTACATTCAGCTTAAAATAACTTGAGCACAAAACAATAATAAGTCACTTTGGCAGCGGCTGAGAGGTTCAGCTTTTTCTACTGCTGCAGGCCACACTCTGAATTGAGTTTTACAGTGGGAGTCATTTAATTATCTCCCTCTATTTTTCCTCGCTGTATCTGAAATACTTCAAACACGTATTCATTAAATTGCACGTTGCTTTGAATCCTTCTTTAATAGAAATCTTTCTGTTTGATGAGGACAAACAAAATGAACAGCAACACAAATGGAGACAAAGTAAAGAAATATCAACGATTAATTTGAGCTTGAAATAGTTAGTCCTTGAGTGATCATGCCTACAATGACTGAGGTCCTGTTATTTCCCTGGAATTCTTGCCAAACTATGGTTCAAAGCTAAATGGCAGTGTACAGTTGACCATACTTCTTTGAATACCCTGCGAAAATAGTGAGAGATTGTGGTCCAAACGTCTGAAACCACTTTCTCATTCAAGTGAACGGGAACGTGCTCTCAGACTTTTGGACTGTGTATTCCAGGGATGTAATCTTTTTTTTTTTTTAAATGATCACAAATACAGCAAATAATGGTAGATAGTAATAATATAGATATGGTAAATAGTCATTATCATATTATTCCTAGTGTGTATCTACAGATTCTAATGACTTTTTTAAAACAATTCATACAAAAACAAGACTAAAATGCTAAAACCATGCTAATGACTCTGTGAGGCGAGTTGTGCTGAGATTAGCTAAATGCTTATGTCATAAATCATTGTATTGGACAAATTGACATTTTGACGATGATGATGGCGCTAGAAGAAATGTTAAGGGACCAGCAAAGTTATGCGGGGAGCTAGTTATTCACATGCATACATATACAAAATTATTGTTAATGATTGAGAGATCTGAACCTGATCACACATTACTATTATTTCTCAGTGGGATTTTGTGATGACACAAAACTGATGTAGGCTGCTTTAAATAAACTAACATTTATTTAAAGTAGAAGTTCTCCTTTTATTTGGTGGCAACAGGTATTTCCACAATAGCCTGAACACAGATTGACACTTTTAATCAATTCAAACTTCAATTCGGAATGTCACTGCTACTTCTCAAATCCAAACTACTTAAAAGCTCATAATAATGTCTCACCGCCAAGATAAATAATAAATCATAACAAGTTCAGCAGTCCAAACAGTCTAATTTGTGCCTGTACAAAATTAATCTTAAAATATGTTCACATTTTAGAGAATGTAATTAATATTTTCCTCACACATTATATATTATGTATGCTGTTAATCAGGAAGTTAATTTTTGTGGCCCGCATGATCCACGGTTTAACTGCAGTGCCCGTGGATATAACTGCAACCCGTTCATCACCAATGTGAACCTTATGCTGGCACTAGATGAAAAGTCAGAGGATCACCAAAGTGACAAGGCTTTCTGTACCAAATATCATGTAAGTCCATTAAGTCTGAGGATCAATCACCAAAGTGTGTTGGATTCATCCTCATGAATGTCTGCACAAAATTTCATTGCAATCGAGCAAATAGTTTCTGAAATATTTTAAATTCCTAGAGCCATGCTGCTACTGTGGCTAAAAACTGGTAAAAACCTGTGAGGACATAACAAATTATAATAAAGACATAAATTCTAATTTCTGTTTTACCTCAGTCACTTGCTCCCGCAGAGGCTTCAAACTGCTTAAAAGATGTTGATGAGAGGTTTTGCATGGCAACATCAGTGAGGAGCCTGACTTCCACAACAAAGACAAGCTGTCTGTTCAGTCCCACTTTAGTATGCTGTCACATCAGGAAGCGTTAACTGTGAAGTCTGTACTCTCCATATGTCTGATCTCAGATCAAAAAAGTAATTTACTGTTCAACTTTTAAGTGTGTTGCCCCAGCTGGGATACTGTCTGTGCAACCTTGTAGCCACATCAAAGTCGTATAAAAAAACTGAGTGTCTTTTCCAGCGGTTTAACAATATTTTACACATTTGTGAAACATTATCTGACCTGGAAACATAAGTATTACTTTCTACAGGTATTGCAGGATTTGAGTGGCGACAGGAACCCTTGAAAAAGTGAAAAGTGTAGTCTTCAGTCTGGACCTTATTCCCAGCGACACAACAGAAGGCAGTCTTTCAGACATGACTTTTTAAATAATCTACACCCAGCCAGCGTGGGGACCTGAGAGGAAGCTTTTGTGGAGTAGGAACAGATCTGTTGGCATTGTTCTCCTCCTCAGGTCATCTTCAATTGGAGCCTGCCAGGCTCTAAGGTGGGACGTTTGAATGAAATGAATAACAATGTGAGTGTGTGTTGGCCGCACTCGGGAGCCACAGCTTAAATCTTGACCAAAGCTGTCGGGAAGAAGTAATGGCCTCACATTCACAACATGTATCTGCTGATATCAAAGAGGAAGCTGTGCCGACAGCGTTGTGTGTATTATGTCCAAAATACAGAATTACGCAAACCTGTGTGTGATAGCTGTGGGAGACACACACAAACGTTACAAGGTGGAAAAGGGGACTTCATTATAAAATGCTCATCCACCCCGATACTCTTGGAAATACTGTTCCTGAGTGAAAGTGAACTAAGCTGACAGAGAGACAATACAGAGATGACTACTTTCTTTTGTTGCACAGCTGCACAAACAGCTGCCTGTGTGTCCAAGTGTTTGTGTGTGTGTGTGTGTGTGTGTGTGTGTATGTGTGTGTGCGCGCACGCACTAGTGTGATGCCAGTCAGCTGCTCACCGTAGCCATGGGATCTCTTCATGTGGTGTTTCATGTTGCTCTTCTGCGTAAACCTGATGCTGCACACCTCACACTTGAAGGGCTTCTTTCCAGTGTGTTTGACCATGTGGACCTGCAGAGCGCTCTTCTGGTTGAAGGCCTTGTCGCACTGACTGCATTTGAAGGGGCGCTCGCCTGCAAGATACACAGACCAACGGTTAGTTTTCATCTGCTGCAATTAGCATTTTACCACATTATGAAACCACCTTCAAAATAATTGTGACATATGGTACTGAACTTTGATATAATTACTGCAAATAAAAGCGACCATTTTTGATTATTGGGCAATATTTAATATGACAGAAAGAGAAGCAAACCTACATGAAAAACAATTATGCAGCTCAGTCTAGCTCTGTTAGTTTCTCTTCATTAAGGGCTGCAACTAATGATTATTTTCATCATCAATCCATTTCATGATTATTTTCTAGATTAATCAATGATTTTTTGGTCTATAAAGTTTCTCACTATTCAGAGGTGATGTCTTGTTTTGTCTGACTGTCCAAAGATATTCCATATATTTACGTAGAAGAGAAAAAAAAACAGCAAATATTCACGGATTTTTGGCTTTTTTTTTCCACAAATGATTTCCTGTAGATTAATATTTTGTTGATTGACTAATTGATTAATTTACTAATTGTTTTTGGCAAAGCTTTCCATTGTTGTTGTTCCTGAACTTCCTTTCCCCCAAGAACTTGTTTATACGTCTCGTCTTGTGATCTATTTTCCTATTAGGTGATGGTCTAAACATGAGCCACACATTACATGTATGGCCTTTGATGTGTGAAATAGCACGCTGCTTTTTTTCTCTGAAGGTCATATTCTCTTTGGTCTTTATTCTAAAATTATAAAGGCATACTGTCTGCCAGTCCACCTAATTGTGCTTATCAGAACTCAGAATGTCCCACATGGTCTTTAAACCTTTGCTTACATGTTTCATCTGTAGTATTCAATATTATCTAAGGTTTTGTTCTGGTTTTATTATGAAGAAATATCAAAACTGCAGTATCACTAATTCTATACTTTATCCAATCAGTTGCTACATTCTTAAATTAGTAACATACAGTATACTGTATATAAGGCAATTCTGTCTCCTGCTGAGACAAACAACACAGCAGGGACACTTTAGCTACTGGATGTCACTGTAACATCCTCTGACTTAAAAATGCCAAAGCAGACACATTTGCAAACAGAAGAAAGCCCTTTTTAGCTCATACTGCAGGGATAAGTCACCTAAGTCACAAATCTTTGCACCTCAAAAACAGATCTTTGTGAAAAACAAAGCCCCCACCCCCACCCCAGATCTAGAACTGTAGATGTGAGTGAACAAGCAGCTATAAACATCAGGCTAAAGCTAAGGATGGAAGGGGGGGGGGGGGGTACATGTTTTTTGTCCTTGTAACTTTTTCAGTGTTGGTTAGAGTGAAAAGACTGAAAAACAAACACCACAAGGTTGTGAGATAAACCAGAATAGAAAAGGTCCAATCAGAATCTTCCTTAACAGCATTTAAATGAGTCTATTCAAATGATAAACAGGCCAACAGAATTGTTTCTTTACGTACACTGAGGGCTGATAAGCATGTCTGGGTGCCTAGGATTTCACAGAGAGATGACACATTCAAGGCATTTGGCTGCTTGGTAGCTGTGTCTATATGAATGCATGAATTAATGAGTGTGTAAGAGAAAGCTGACAGCTGCTAAATATCACATTGAGAGAAGGATCTTGCTTTTACATCCAGTTCTTTTTTTCACCATTTAGTTCAGGACTGTGTCGGGACTCTTTGTTGATTTGGACTCATTTAACTTGGTTTTTATGACTGAATAATTACTTTGGGTGGGAGGGCATTGGAAGGCATTTCCCTGAGTAAAATGAGGAATTGTACAACATGGAAGTGATTTCAAAACTCTTTTTTTGCGACCTGTCAGTTCAACATTTTATCATGAGCATGTTGATACACCCATGATAAAACATACTACATATCTGACCTACATGTTTCCACTGTGGTGAAACGTTTCTCTTCATTCACTCACAGATGTTTGAAACCAGATTATGAAATGTTATCCTGTATTATTCAAAGTGTTCAATATTAAATGAATAAGACATTATCAAATAAATAGTCAAAATGTATAAACATATAAAATATAATAAATAAATTGTGAACTAAAAAGTCAGAATGTCTTCATATGATTATTTATTTCGTAATCACTTTATTTAATAGACACTTCTGGGCTGCATAGGTAGTGAAAGATAATTATAAAATGGTGGATTTTATGCATTTTATTTACAGAGCAAACAATAATCCTCTTACCTGTGTGTGTTCGGTTGTGTCTCTCCAGCTGGCTACGCTTGGCGAAGGCCTTCACGCAGGAGGAGCAGTTGAAGACTCTGGGTTTCTGGGAGCTGGGCGACGGGCCCGGCTGGTGCACCCGTTCATGTTCCTGTGACAGATCCAAAAAATAAATTTCACCATTGCAGTTAAGCACACAAAATCCCTCTCCTACAATGTGGCTAGAACTAGAGATTTCCATCATTTTGCCCTCGGTGGAACTGACATTGTTTGTACTGAGCGACTCCGGAGAGTCTGGACACCCCGATCATTCATAAAGAGACTTTAATTTTGACACTTTGTCTTTTCCTTTTCTCTTGTGTTTCTTTTATTTCTTTTCCGTTTCTAAAGTTGCTAATGATGTGTTCTGTTGCTGGTGTGATATGTTGAAAAATGAAAACATGAAAATGTATAGAAATGGGTCACTTTGAGAAAATGCCCATTTAAATCTTTAATTTTGTGCTTGTCCCTTTGGATCTGACATTACATAACCTAAATTACTATTTATATGTGGTTTTTTGATGACTGACTTGAATATTTTATTACAATCAAACATTTTATGCTTGACAGGCAAAATATTATATGTATATCTTTTATGTCCACTGAATGGTCACTTTACAAATTGTACATCATCAATTTCAAACAGGTAAAACTGCTATTCACTGCTATAAACTGATTAGTTGTTCAAAATCTTTTACTCAGGTATAAGAATACCATGCCTATCTTTGTCATGTATGATAGTAATCCTGATTTCTTTAGGTTTCAGACTTATTGTTGCAAACAAACAATTTGAAGATGCCATTTTAGACTCTGAGAAATTCCCATGATTTTTGCTTAATCGAGAAAATAATCAGCTGGATAAGCTAATACTGGAATACTGGCTTTAGTAGTATGGTAAAATCTAACAACACAGGTTACAACAATGGTCTTGGAAAAACAGAATGGTCTGAAATCTTAAACATATCGATTGTTATATTCAAGCAGTCAACTGGCATTGACTCGACCTTTGTAAAGATCAATATTTGACATTTTAATGTTTTATGATTAGCCACAGCCTACTTCACTGGCTAGCATACTACTCATTCTGGTATTTCAAATCATCAAAGGTGTAACAGTGAACAAACAGAGCCTTTTCAATGAGAAAATCATTCTGTAAATACTGATAAAAACAATCTTGGTTCATGTATTGTGTCAGGGATATGAAATTCAGGAAGGACTGAAATATCAGTGAAATGTACTAAGACGACAATGGTAAACCTTAACCTGCAGCAGCACCGCACTCAATACGGGCAGCACAAAGCATGAGTGCAGAAAAAAGTGAATGGTAACAATACCATAATAAGATTGTTAATAGGGAAAAGGGCTAAAATGCAGATTCTGTAACTGCATCAAGTTTATAAGGAGATAAAGTCTGGAGGGTGTTGGGGTCATTGTGGAGCCAGTGTTTATTAAAAGTGCCTTGGGTAAGTTTAGGGAAAACATTAGAACTTTGATTAAAAAAACACAACAACAAATGGGCAACAAAAAAAAAAAAAAAGAAAAACACTTTCTGTTTCCCTCTCTTCTGCTTTACTCACCACGGCCACAATAAAATATGTGTCAGCTCTTCTCTTTTCAAAAAATGTTGAGCTATTCCTTTGAAAAAATTCATACACATCACAAATATACAACAAAAATTTAAAACAAATTCAACAAATGCATGTTATGTTTATGTGCATATTCTTGCAGATAATAAAAACAATGAAAAATAGATATTAATTTGAAGTGGCCAGGTAATTGCAAAAATGAGTCTGAAGCTGGAGACAATGCGATTCATCACAGTGGGCCGACGCACCATGTCCTTAATTTATCTGGTTGTCAGGCTCATTTGATGTAAAATACTCAGCTTTTCCCTGTGAGAGCCTATTAATGTTGCCTAACCTATGTAGCACTGCCTGTCGAGCAGAAAAGGCCTGCAATTAATTATTTTTCTGTGTTCCAAAACTTTAAAGCCATGGTTTTGGCTGTCTGGCTATAATTAAATAGCAAAATTATTATCCACAGACAAACAAAATGAAAAATAACAGCACTACCAATTTATCTTTCCCACCACCGGGCCTTTTTAAAAAAATCGAAAATCAACATCAGAGTTCTCATTGCAGACTAATGAGAAGCCCGGGGGCCTGGAGAGGATGGAGCTCGGCCACTCTCACTGTGACATCTACCTAATCTCATTGTCATTACTTTTATAAGAGACAATTACTGCTCTCCATGTCGAGGCACATTTACTAATGTAAAAGCCAATGGCACAATGGCCTTTTTCTCAGAAACATGACATGTGGTGGAGAAAGAGCCTGTGTATAAGGCCATATCCTCCTCCTCCTCCGTCCTCCTCATCTGAGAGCCTCGGCATTTATGTGCTTGATTGTCTCAACCGCATGAAGAGGATCGTGAGAATAGAGAAGCACACATGCTCCTCTCCTTAATTTGGCTGTAAAACTCTTCTCAGTTAAAGTGTTTTGCTTTGTTGTTGAGGGTGCATCTGAAATCCGCTTGATGAATTACCCATATTTTTGCTTCATACACTTTGATAACGGTGTCCTTTTCAGCGTGAAATTGAGGCACTGATTACTAAAAAGAGCAAGATTTGTGTTGTGAGAGTTGACTTATTGTTTTCATAAGACTCTGAGAGTTTCATTCATCAGTTGTATTCATTCATATACAATGCTAAATTCATCTTTAAATAAGCAGCCACTTTGTTCTTAGGGAGAGGAAGCAGTAGCTGAATGGGTATCAGCATTAAATATAAGCCAGCAATAGCTTAAATCTAAGCTGTTAAACATGAGAGTCTGATGTGTTTACATGAGTTGTTACCTTCAGGTGTGTGGCTCGCTTGAAAGCCTTGTTGCAGAGGCTGCAGACATGACAGCGGTCCTTGCCGTGAGCTTGCCTGCAGTGGCGTCGCAGTGTGTTGGCGTTCTGGCACACCTGATTACAGTAGTAACACTGGTTCCGATTGTCGCCCTCCGTTTGGGCATCCTTCCCAGCCTTGTGCCCATCGTCAGAAATCTGAATAACACAAAAAGACGCGGATTATTTAAGCTTCCAGTGCATGATGGTAGCTGCATGAGTCTGGTCTTGCATCAAAGTAGACCTAAAGTCTAAAGTCTTGACAACTCATGGTGCATATTTCCACACAAATACAAAGTTTTTGATTGATTAATGTGTTCTTACAGCCCAAAACCTACTTCCGCCTTTGTTTGGCAGCTCCTCCCCTAGATATAAACACACAGGACAAACACACTCACATTATATCCATTGTCAGAGGCTCCGTTTGCAGACTGGGAATGGTGGCTGACCAGGATGACCTGCTGGCCTGAGCTGGCTGACTGCCCCGGCAGACCAGAGTCATTCAGCACAGCAGGAAATGTCTGACCCTGAGGATCAAAGGAAACTCTCATAAGGCAGCTGACAAACGACATGAGTTCCAGTTTGATCTTCACACACTCTTAATTAAATCACTGGATTTTTAATGTTTTACCTGTGCATTGAGGTTTAGAGTGACACCATCCAGCATACCCTGTGCATCAGCAAGGGTTAGTGTGACACTGCCATCGCTGGCCACGCCTCCTGGTGACATCACTAGGCTCTGGGACGCAGCAGTATGTGACAGGGTGGTGCTAGGTGGCAGGCTGGTCACTGATAAGTCGAAGAAAGAGAGCTGGGTTAAAGTGATTTGACTTTTTACTGCCACACTCCACTTCAAGTGTGGAGTGACTACATTTCCTCTGTGGCCAATCTTGTATATAGACTGTGGGGACCGTGTGCTCTGTGGCTGAATTTGAATGCAGACCGTGTATTTGCTGGAAATGGGGCTAGGTAATACATTTGTGATGATATGAAAAGCGGTAAATTTGACCTTAAAAATTTTTTTGATTACATATGTCAGTGAGCACAGTCCTTTAACACGTGTGAATGACAGGCACACAGAGAGGACCGGTAAAGAGACGGATAGGACCGGTGCAAATTTAACGGATTTTTTGACGGACCACTGGCCCATATTATGTATGAAACTGCCAATCTGGTCACAGGCTACAAATGCAAGTTAAACTTTGGACCAGTGGCTGCAGTGCAGGGATTGTCGTAATGACCACAAAATTTATACTTGCATGTGTTGAGGTGACTGCAACCAGCTGGCTAAAGGCCCTTTCAGTGCTTACTGCTCCCTGACTAAAATAGTAACACATATTTATTAGGTTCAGTCAGGGAGGGACTTCCATTATATTAGTAGTGAACAACACTGGCCAATATTTGAACTTAATAACAAGGCCAATATGGGTCCCATACAATTTATCAGTCAAAGTGCAGGTTGAACTGTATTTGCATACAGAGCGACAGTCTAATCAACTACAGCAGAGATGCTCTCTGCGTCTCTGTGAAGCAGTGGGAATGTTTCCTCTTGAGCTGTGAGAGGCGGGTAATGAAGAGAGAGAGAGATGAGACTGGAAATTTGATTAAGTTTCTAGGTGACAAGTGCACCTGTCAAAAGAACAATCAAGAAGACAGAACAAATCATATTTGCTCACTTCACTCCCTTCACTTCCTTATCACCGATTGGTCAGCACAATTATTAAATGACAATGATTCACTTATAGACTCAAATGTACACCCTCCTGATAGATGCATGTAGAGTACAAATACAGTATACAACAAAACTGAGTATCCCTGCATAGTATCTCTAAGAGGTTTAGTAATTAGAAATCCTGTCCAATTCATACAATTTCATTTGTTTTAAAAAGTGTCAAAGGAGGATGAAGCAAATTTAGAAATGTTTGACTAATCAAACTTTAATGAAAGGTCCATATTAAAGAACCAACTATGTATGTCCACCTTTATTTCTAACACAAATCTGTGCAGGGATGTTTTGTCATTCTTCACAGATGATTCTTTTCAGCTGCTCTTTGCTGGAGGGGTTTTCTTGCTCTATCATCTGCTTTAAAATACTCCAAAGATTCCAATAGATCAATGTTTACACTTTGTTTCTTCACAAACTCTTGTGTGATTTTTACAGTGTGTCTGGGATCATTGTCATGTTGGAAAATTCCTCTCCTGCCGAGCTTCCAGAGACTGGGAGTCATCTCTTCATTCAGTCTTTGGGTAAACAAACTTACATTCATAGTGTCATCTATTAATGTCATCACCCCTACACCCTTTGCACTGATGCACACTCCCACCTCCATGTGTAACGGTTGGAACTCTCCATTCACTGTGGTGGTCCTGGCTGGGTCGTCGCACAATATGTCCAGGTAGATCTTCACAATGTGGAGCCATGTTGCATTAGACACAACCCAGACTGACAAAACTGAGAAAACTGTGATGTTCACAGGTTATTTTCTAACCTCGTTCATGCAATTAGACCTAAGTGGAAATCATAGGTGCAATAACTTTTGTTGCACTGTCTCAGGTGTACTCACTTTGGTTCCACTGATGCTGCACTTTAAGGCCTGTATTTTCAATGTAGCCTGTCTAACCTGTTTTTTGTTTTTTTTATTTATACATATTTAACGTTTTAGTGATACACACTGTGCACCGTATACTGTACATCTGCACTGCAATCAAGGTCTTCTATAACACTAAAAGATGAAAGAGAAACAGGATAGAGATGTGTTCCTCAGCTAACAACTAATATTCCAAGGCTCAGCTTTGTCCATAATGCAGTATGTATTTCAGCCCACTAGAAATGACAGGGCTGTATTATTAACCAAAATGCAACAGAAAAATTGTGTTTGTCTTCTCTAAAGTTTGCAAAGGTTAAAATTCCTGGCTAACTAGCGTGCTAGCTTACCATTAATCTGCAAAAAACAATCATTCCAGAAATAAATAAATGAAAGATGGTCACTGGCTGGAATTCAGAACACTGCTTTTGTTTACGTCTGTGTGAAACAGAACACCAACTGTTTCAAAAATGACTCGACTGGTAAATCTGCCAACATTCATTATCACTGTAAAAGGCATGTGTGGCTTGTGAGAATGGAAAGCTTCACAGCAATCAGGGAGGGGCTCAGTGAACAGTCCGACTGCAGTGCCGGAGAAGCATTCACTGATCTGATCTTTTGGTGTCAATTTTCCAATGCAGCCATTTTTGCATTTCTGTGTGATGTGCTGGGCCAGGGCCTTATTCATCCTTGAAAGCCTATTTTGTAGCTATTTTAACTCCCCCCCCCCCAATACTTTGATGACTCTGTAGTGGGGGGCACACACCTTAGCATACCATTTCATGAAAAGGGCACTGATGGAGAGAGACTGTTTTAGCCTCTCCATCAATGCCTTAGTTTTACCCTGGGATCTATCACTGGTGCCAGAGGCAAGGGAAGCTCCTCTTCAACCATTAAAGGAATATGAGCTAAAGTTGAGCAACTCCCATTATTCATATTCACTCTTGCACTGGCTAAAAACGTGAGTGAACTACAGTCTACCCATTCACCTGTCATGCATCCTCTGTATATGAAGTACCTGTTTTGGTGATCTCCACTCTTTACTCTCCACCTAACAGAAAAGGCTTTGTGTTTGGTCACTTCTATACAGAGAGAGAGCTCACTCCTTCTGTTAATGTGATCTATTCTTTGTTGTTTAAAGCAGCAACAGGTCAGACTCGGCCTACGTGCTGTCTGATTCCCTACATGTTGGGAGTGATTACGCTGGCTTACAGCAGCAAAGACAAAGACCTCCCACTTAACATGCATGCTCATTCCATCAAATGGGTGGCAATTTAATCAGTGCTTCTCAAGTGGGTTGTTAGGGTGATATTTGCGCAACAGCCAGCTGAGCATCTCCCACTTTGCAGCCATACTATTGGCTTTAGGTGCTAGACTTGAGTTAAGTGGTGTTATCAGTGAGTGGAGCACGTCACAGAGGCTGACAGGTCAAAGATGGCTTTTGTGTCATTTGTAACACCCCTATAGAGGGGAGTTAATGTGAGAAAATCTGACTGGAAGAGAGGGATTGGTTTATTTGTAGACATGAATTTCCAGGAGACTTCACATCAATTTCATCTTAAAGAGATATATCTTTTTATCTATTTATTTTTTTTAAATAGGCCAGCAGAAGGTAATTAATTTACATTAGATACATTATTTTATAGTCTCCTGGGGTAACTGCGAGTGGAAGCACTCTCCAGGTACTAGCAAGCACATTTCAAGAGTGAAATGTATTTGCTTACTGTCACAAAGTGATCCTGTGTAGGGCCCTATCTTACATCCGGCACAGAGCGGCACGAAGCACAACGTAAGTGTCTTCGCTTGTTTCAGATTAACGCAGTTGTCATTTCCCATCCAGCGCCCACGTTGTTTAGATAGCAAATACGCCCATGGGCGTGTAGGTCTTAAAATGAGGTGTGGTCAGGCACATTGTTGGTGCATTGCAATCCTGAGGCAGCGGAAGGCGATTCTTGGATTGACCAACAAAGACCTGATCTTAAGTCAATGGTGCATTATTTCACTGTTAGTGAAAGAAAGTGAAGGCTCACTGATGTCTGGCAAACTTGAAAAACAAAGTGAGACTGACCTCTCCTGCAGGAAGCTTTTATGTAAATGCGTGCTAAAAGAGTCCAAAAAGCAGAATACAATAAGCCGAAACAAAGTAATAAAAAGTTTTATAAAAGAGTTGATAAAAAGTTGTTTCATTTTCAACATGTGGAGTGCTACTGTCAGCATGTATCTTGTTTAATGACCCCAAGTTAAACGCATCAAAGATGAGATCTGCATAGAGTGAGCAGAGGAACCAGCCTTTCACTGTCCATCTCAAAAGCAGCTCTGCAAGTGTTTTGTCTAATTTATTTGTTTGTTTTCCTTTTTTCTTCTTCATCTTATTATTTTATTTTATTTTATTTATTTTTTTTTTTCTCCTACATGTTGGGATTTATTGTTTGATTATACATAAGAAGCACTGAATCACCGATTGTGGTTATCCATGCAAGTAGCTGCTTCATAATAAAAATATTTGAAACAAAAGCAGCTCTGCAAGACATAACAGTTGCTTCAGGGACTGAAGATGATTCAAATATGCTCACTGACTTTCCACAAAGATATTCTTCTGCCCATTTAGATACAAACAGACATTTGTATTCCAGTCCTCACCTGCCATTCCAGTGTTGGCGGGGCTCTGAGGTAGGAGGTGGTCATTGGTGATGGTCAAAGTTGCACTGGTGGGCTGGCTGCTGAGCGGTGATGCCAGCCTGATGCTGCCGTTCATCTCGGCACCATTAGGGTTGCTATGCTGGGGGAGCAGATCTTGACCTGCAAAAGGATGGCAAATAAAGACATTTTTAGTCCAGAAAATAAGTAATGGTTTTCACACTGATTCAAATTTCAAGCTCCTTTTGTTTTTTCTTCCATTAGGCTCGGATAAGATGTAGAAGAAAGGTGTTGTTCTGAGCATCTCCCAGTTGTGCTTAAGGATACATACATTTGGAAAAACTGAGAGACTGAAAATGACTTCACGTATTTTGCTTGGGCTCATGCACTGTAAACTATCTTAATTTCTTTTCCACTTCCTCTAGTTCATGAAAAAAAAAGGTCTTGGTGCAGCTTCAAGATATGAAAAACAAAAAATAAGGCTATAAAAAAGAATTGTTTGTTATTGCCTTCGCACAAAGGTAGCGCAAAGGATTTGAATCACAATACAATAAATATATCAGCATGCTGAATGAAAGAAAGACCAAGTCATTTCCAGGGGAAACACTCTGACAGGGCAGGAATGATCTACGGCGACTCAAGGGGGCTCGGAAAAAGTGAAGCAGCCTCAACTTTCATCTACACCGCGGATACAGCCTAGATCCTGAGCTGATACAAGATGATGTACATAGAAAATGGCTTGTGAGGAAGGTGTATCACTCATAACATCTAACACTGAGGCTTAATCTGGATTTTGAAGAAGCTACAAAATGAAAAAAAAAAAAAACTGTGAGTTGTTATTGGGTTTGTTTTTTTCTCTCGCTGCAAGCCTGTTCGCCCAGTGAGGAAATCAATGAATGTGTTACTGATCCTTGAGGGAATTTTTATTTCATCTGTTTTCTTTATTATTGATAGTCTGTTTCTACTCTTTCTACAAGTTATTCAGTATATAACCACGTAACTGCACGTTATTTTGATAAACCTGTGGTGTATAAATGCTCCATACCTGATATGGTGAGGGTGATCTCTTGAGGGTTTCCTGCTGCAGTGTTGGAACCAGCAGCCGAGGCCTGGGCCTGTACCTGGGCTAGGGCTTGTGTCAGGCTGGAGTTGTTGATGGTCAGCGTGATCTCCTGACCATTGCTGCCTCCGGCTACCAGCCCAGAGCTGCTCATGACATGGCTTAGGTCCTGAGATCCTGCAGGACCAACAGGATAGCATGCATCAGTTATTCCGCTCATGACAGAAGGTTTCTCATTCAATTTCTCCCAGCAAACATACCTGCGGCATCCTGCTCAGACAGGCCGGCCATGGTGACCTGCGCAGGTGTGATGGTGGACGGCTGCAGGGCCAGGCTGGTCAGTGGGTGGATGACGACATTGGCAGACACCGAGGGGTCAGTGGTGGACATGAGCTGGCTGCCAGAGTGGGACACCAGGCCAGTGTCAACGCTCAGGGGATGAGAGAGGAGGCTGCCCTGCTGCAAGGTCTGCTGGAGGAGGGCATGGTCAATCTGGAAGAGAGAGTTCTACCTCAGATGAAAGAGGAAGGCTGAAGTTGAAAAGGAGAGTGAGACACAGGACGTGTGTGTCGGGGAAAAAGCAGAAGCTTAAAGCTAGATGGTTTCTTTTTGAAAAATGTGGGGAGAATCAGTCAGGAAAGTCCCATTGATTCTCTTTGACAACTTACATCTGTGAAAATATATTTCCTGACATGAGATGAAATGAGCATCAAATCACATTTATCTTGAAGATGAGCGCCATTAATATGAACTCTATATCAATCTATATTTTAGTCAGTGTTCCCTATACATTCATTTATTTGATTTATTGACACTGACCACCATGTATCGATGTTCTATTTTTTTACTATACACTTTCATTGTGGAGCTGTGTGCAGAATATTGATTTGCTCAGCCCCTCCTTGCCTTGCTCTGTCCTCTCTCTCTCGCTCTCTCTCTCTCTCACACACACAAACACATTGACAACGGGACCCGTCTGTCATAGTCAGACTGGCCATCAGGAGCTCTAGGAGAAATCCTGCCGCATCTGTGGGCCAGTGGACCGTCAAAAATCCATAAAGTTTTTACAGCACCTGTCTGTCTCTTCACCGGCCTTCACTATGTGCCTGGGTGTGCATGAGACCAAGCTGCGTGTTCAGTGGCCAAACACAATCTGTTATTTGTTTTAACACAATGTGCAGCAGTACAGCTGCATATATTGTTATGTTATATAGTAGCTCCTTCCCCACCTGTGGATTTCAACCTCAAAGTGCAGATCAGATATGTCAAAAACTACATTTTTATTATTTATTATTATTATTATTTTTTCAGCCGACTGAAGAAAACTCATCATGGGCTTCTGTATACTGCAGCTCTGCTGATACTTGTTCTAGTGCTTTTATGGGGATATAGAAATTCAATGCTCATTTGGTTCACTGTGAGGGTTTAGGTCTGACAAGGTGCCCCCCAGGTGAGACAAGTGCTCTCCAGCCCATACCCACAATACCTCAACTGACTGGTTAGAGGAGAGGGTCAATGTTCCAAAAATATACGAACCGTGTTGGTGAGACACTCTGAACAAAATTATTCATACTGCAACATGAAAAAAGTAAGGATTGATGGACTTGGCCACATCTTTTATTATTTTTTGTCTTAACTAATGTAGGGGATAACCATGCTCCAAGTTTTGTAACTACAGTTCCCATCATGTCTTGGGGGATGTACACAGGGAATATAATGGTACCATGGATTCAGTGAGTTGCCACGTGTGGCTACAGCTTGAACGCAGTTTACTGTAGCCAATATTTGTTAAGATTTTGGCAAACTGGCATTAAAAGTTTGCCGAATTAACACTTCCTGTTTGCTGTGTAGCCATTGATGTTCAGGCAACTATCAGTGAATTACTGATGATCTTCAGTATCATTTACTGAAGGATTGATGATGATATGTGGATTTATGGGCATTTACTCACAATGAACAATACAGATAATATCCTCAGGAAATTAAGCTAATGTGCATCATGGTCAGATTACACTGATTTATGACTCAGAGAACAAGAAGTGTGAGACAAACCATAATAAGTAACTTCCCATTGTTTTTAGAATATCATCATGCACCTGTCCCTTTCACCTCACACAGTAATTTTGCTTCATGTCTCTCCCGCAACCCGCTTTGAAGGTAAATCTCACAGTTCAGAACCCTCTGGTTCACTTCATCTACATTCACTCGTCACCCAACGAAATTCCCTGAGCGACCAATAGCTCTCTAATAATTATCAAAATCCTCCTAAGTACATATTTTCTGTGCATTAGCGAATGCATAAGCGCAAAACTTTTATCTCTCGGTAAGAAATCTAATTAAAAGACAAGGCTGAGAGGGCTGTTGTGTATTAATAGTTGTGTAAATAAAACATGCACTGCCCTGTATTGAGATTTTAAAAAGCTAATCATGCATCGACACACCCAAAAACCATTCTGCACAAACTAATTTGTTTAAGTAATTGAGTGAAATGGTTTGGATGAAATGTTACAAAAGAATAATTGTAACGTCTACTGCTTCAGCCGACTTCTGCTGAATGAAAACTGAGGAAAAGGTGAGGTAAAGCCTTGTTGTGCTATTGGATAAAGAGGCTCTAGTCTTTACATTATTAAAACATTTTTTTTAATCAGGTATTGACTTAGAAGCCTTGCAATTAAAGGACCACATACAATTAAAGAATTATAACCAAATATTTGATCAATAAATTACTGTGGTCCTTTATAATCTGTATTAATATTATACACAAGTATATAAGCGTAAATCATTCTGAAGCTATAGACGCTGACAATTCAAGATCAAGGTGACAACACACATGGACAGTAACAAAGGGCTCAGTAGGAGGTGTGTGTAACCTGTAGTGTGATGTTGTTGATGTTGCTGGTATCGATGCCAGAGATCTGGACATTGGGGCAAACCAGGTTGGCAGGCGTCAACTGCAGGTGGATGCCATCCAATGTGGTCAGGCCATCTGGGAGAGACACAGTCAGGTCGCCTGCAGCTGCAAAACACAGACACACACACACACAGACAGACACACACACACACACAGACACACGGATATATTTAAATATTTCACATTTTGTGCTAATGTTTGACTAATTAACCTTCCAGGCAGCACAGCGACAGAAAGCAGTGACTTCCATGCATCAAAATGTGCTCAGCTCAATTAAGTGCTCACGACAGAAAATCTTTACATCATCTTCTGACATTTAAAAGCTTTGATGAAATCCAAACTGCTGAGCTTGATAAGAGGATTACTGCTGGTTAAGAAATATAAGCTTTTATTAACAAAGGGCTTCGCCTGAAACTGTTGATTTAAAAATGAGAAATCAAATGAGACCCTGGAGGCAGATGCAAAATTATATATCTCATGCCGAAAGGCCAGATCTGCACCCTGATGGTTTCTTTCTGCTCAAGCAAGAAAATCCCTGAAGTACTGAACATCTCATGAATAAGAACCAATGAAAAAAAAAAAAAAGAAAACAACAAAGAGAATCTGGCGATGTATTCCATTTTTCCCCAGATGATGAAAGGAGAGAGTTTTTTTCTCGTAGTGAACTGAGCCCCTTACTCAAAAATACACAAACAGAGAGAGTGAGGTGTACGAAAGTGGTGAGCCTGAAGCCTGAAGAAAGCCATGACTGGAAAACATTTTTAGCCAACTGTCCTGCTCCAGCAGCGTTGTGGAGAAGGTAATTTCATGGCTGCAAAGGGCAGTTAGGCTTGAGTCAACATATTAACCTTGAACGAATTGGAGTGTTTTAGAGAAAGTATGAACATAGTGCTGCTGTGTGACTCCCTTAGTAAGCATGTTACATTTTTATTGATCTGTTTGTTTCTTATTACAGGCTGTAGTTATTTGAATTCATGAGCCCAAACTTGAGGAAAATGAGCTGATCTGAACATGACACTGTCATAAAGAGGAACCAGAAAATCTAGATTTTAAAACTTAAAATTGAATTTCCTTCTTCCTTTTTATACAATTCAAGAACTTAGATTTAATCAGCACACACAGGGAAATCTTCAATGCTCAGCTGTTGAAGAGTGAAAGGAAGAAACGCAGCTAAGCAGCGTACAGGCATCATAAGTGAATGTTTGGAAGCTCTTATGTGGTTCAACATAAAAGCAGATTTATCCTCAAAAACGATCAAAGTGGTATTTTGTGATCAGAGGAGAGGGAGTACACAGAGGGTGTCTTGCGGTGATGAAGAACCTTCCTCTCTCCTGGCATAGGCCTCATCAGGGATTGTGATGTTATTCATCTTGCCCGGAGCAACAGTGCTGATGTTGCCGATTGAATACCAACTGAGTGACTGGCACAGGGAGTGATGATCCCGGCAGAGTTTCAGTTACACCCACAAACTTCAGTGAATTAATCATCAGCCTGATGTGTTGTTGGTGGGTCATCAATAACACCCAACAGTGACTCTTTGGGTTAATAAACGTTTTGTGCTTCAGTTTTACTGCTTTGGTCACATTGTAACTATGAGTTGATAAAACCTCTGTTACAAACAAACTCCTGACTGTTTCTTCTCGCTACGTTGCTCTATATAAAGCATAATTTGCTAATTGTCTCATCTTCTACTGCTCTGCATGATAAATTACAAACAATTTTTTTCCTCTGTGTGTTTCTTGTACGTGTGTAGACCCATGTATAATCCTTACCTGACATGGAGGCAGGCAGGATGGCCTGTCCCACCAGTCCTGGTTGCAGCAGATTCTGGTCAAACTGCCCCGTCAGGACTTGGTTGGTCGGGAGGTAAATGCTGGGGTCAGAGTTGGGCGTTTGTAGCAGACCCACAGATTGAAGAGCCTCTGACCCAGCTGGCTGCTGGCCCTGGCCCGAGGCCACAGTCTGCCCCACCCCTGGGTCTTGACCCTGACTGGTCTGACCGGCAGATGAGGCAGACCGCTTGGACTTGCGGCTGTCGCTATTTGGCCGGAAGTGGCACTGGATGTGTGTTTTGCGATGGCCTGATGTTCTGAAGCGGAGTTCACAGAAGGGACACTTGAAGGGCTTGGAGCCCGTGTGGAGACGCATGTGCACCTTTAAGCTGCCCTTTGTAGAGAAGGAGGTGTTGCACATGTGACAGCTGAACAGTTTCTGACCTGCAAAGTAAGAATAAATAAGAATGTCAGGTGCAGTCAACTGAATATGACTTGAGGCTCTATCACAACTCCAGACTATAGCAGCTCAGTGTCTGTTTGCGGTCAGAAAGACCTCTCTTTTCTCCGTGTTTCATTAGTTATGTAAGAGGTGATGTAACTGTCCTGGTTGTTGCAAATATAAAACAGCTTTGAAATGACAAGGACAGCCCTGAAGAGTCTGCAATCAGCAAGGAAGCTTTTATTTAACTTCACTTTCAACACCTCTAAAGTAGTTCACAAGGACTCAATGTGGCTGGGCTAAAAACTGTTATATAATGCCATATACATGTTAGCGGTTAAAACACCGATAAACTACTGTTAAGGGAAGAGTTCAACATTTAAAAAAAAAAATCCTCATTTGCTTTCTTGCTGAGAGTTAGATTATATAAGGATGGAGCCTGCTGGCTTCGCTTAGCAGAAACAGTGGGAACACAGGGGAAACAGCTAGCCGGGCTCTGTTGATTAACATCTTCTATCTCATTTATTTAAATATTTAAACATAAAATAAAATGTAAAAACAACACATTGTGATTCTAAGAGTGGTTATGTGCCAGGCTTTGTAGCGTCGTGTGGTTTGACAAAAAACCACAAGGTGCCGTTTTTAAACTAGGTATGGACTACATTACATAAGTCATTTGATACATGCTTTTATCCAAAGCAACATACAGGTGAGACACCACTAAAGCTAAAGCATTGCAGTAGGAGACCTTGGTGTAAGTACTAAGTACTACATCTATTTATTTAATAAGTGCAAGGAGATCAAGCAAAGAAGTGCACCAAAAGTGGATAGTAAGAGCTATTTACGCATGTTAGGGTGTTAAAGGTATAAAAGGAGAGGAGGTGCTCTCTGAAGAGATGAGTCTTCAAGAGATTCTTGAAGATAGAGAGGGACACTCCTGCTCTGATAGCATTCGGTAACTTGTTCCACTATCGGAGAACCACAGATGAGAACAGTCTGGACTGCGATTGCCTCGTGAGCAGGGATGGCAGTACCAAGAAGGAGGATAAGGCTGTATGACTGAGTTCAAGTAGATGGGCGCAGACACAGAGGTCAGTGTGAAGACAAGCATTAGCAGCTTGAATTTGATTCGGGGCAGCCTTGGGCAACCAGTGGACTACATTAACTGGCTACTGGCTTGATATTTACCACACAGGCCTGAGAATGGCATCACTCTCCCCAAAATGTTGAACTATTCCTTTAAGTAATTTAAAGAAAAGATTCCTCAGTATTCTCAGCTTTTCACTTGTTTCAAACACAACTGACTAAATACCACAATGTTCCGCAACTTCCACGACCAGCAGGAACCCTGTAAGTAAAAGTAAGTAAAACATGATCCTCATAACTTCATGAAGCAATGAATTGTTGTGATGAAACACTTACCCGTATGTGTCTTCACATGGCAGTCCAGGGTAGATTTCACTGTAAAACTCTTCCCACATTCTTCGCACTTGAAAGGTCTTTCTCCTGTATGGATCCTGATGTGCCTAGACATTGAGGTGGATCGACGCAGACAAATTTGAAAAAATAAAAAAGACAGCCGATGAGTGCAACTTAAATTTGTTGTTAAAAGAGAGATGAGTGAAATAATGGAAGCAGACAGCACAAGATACAACCTCGCCAGTGTTTACTGATTATCATCCAAAAGCACTCTTCCATTTCATGCCTTTAGTTCCCAGTGCTGTTGGTAAATGAGCTTCCAAAAAATGCACTGTGACTCCAAATATGAGAACTTAAATAATATGGTTCATCAGTAGGTCAAAACCTGGTCCAAAAATGAAGCAGTTTGAACTTCATAGGTCCAATAACATGAACCAGCTTCTAGACAGATGTAAATATACATTGATTTCTACCACTAAGATAAATATTCTCCCACATCAATGTTCTCACATCGATGTTCTCACACTCTTTCTGAATGTTATAAAGAGATAATCAGGAAAATGTGACCCTGTGCATTATTTACTAACTTCTATCATTTTCACAGTTTTGATGTTTAATTATGATGTCTGACACATACTTGCTTCTGCATAATTGCATGGGGAAATTGGACGACCTACCACCCATGATTTGCCTTCAGTAAATGTGTTTTATTAAAATGGATACGTTATTATAAAAACTCTTGCCACTCTGATGTGGGAAAAAAAAAACTTAAAATATGTAGAAGAAATAGAAAAGATGGCTTCATCTCTGCTCAAACCGACTCTTTGTGACACTGTATTTCTGCCGTTTATCTCTAGAGTGTCGCAACAAAATATGAAACAGTTGCCGCAGTGATAATTTTCCAGAGTCATAAAATGTCTGTCTGTGAGCATTACAAACTAATGTGCTGTTTTGGCTTATAATAAGATTTTAAACATGAAAGTCCAATTGGACTTCCTTTATCATATTTATATCAAACTACACACCCCCATGAATGCTGTTTAAAGCAATGTTTTTTAATGTATGAATGCAGCCTTAGACCCAGGTTGAAAAATATTGGAATTTCCCTTTGAAGACAATAACATGAACAAACCTCCTGTTGTTTCCTACTACTTTATTGAGAGGGATTATCCAGGGGGATACTATTTGTGTTTACCATTGTTTGGACGCATTAAATGATGTACTTACTTATAACACTGTAATGTATGTTAAGGATTTTACTTAAGTACTTTTGCCAACAAATCCATATCCAAAAGATCCCACAGAACCTGCCACATGCTGACAGTATAATCATCAAATGTCATTAAAATAAAGCTTATAATCTAAAAGACAATGAAATGTTGCCGAGTTTTATATCTTTTCTGCTCAGTTATCAGCTGCTGCTTTTTCTAACCCTCACAGCACTGATTTAGCAGCAGATCAGTTACATGCCTTGTAAATCACCTCATGTGATGCTACTCAGTCACTGCGAGTCAAGTCAGTGAGTGAGATACACACAGGTACACAGAGAATACGTGTGGGAGTGGGATATAAGATGAAAAGAAAAAGAAAAGGAATGTGTTAAAGCAGTTTGATTGTTGTTTCATTTTTTCTAAAATGAAGTAATTCATTTTAAGATATACAGTTTTAAAAAGCTCTCTGTTATGATGTGCTTATTACTTGTTAGAGCGCATTGCTTGAAGAAATTCTGTCTAACTGGACTTCTTTGGATTTTAATTTATTACCCCTGAGCTAATATCACTCCACACTGCATTTACACAGCCACGATGTGGATGTCAGATAGAAATGGTCCATTAATATAAATTTTTCCAAAAGTCTGAGTCATAATTCATTTCAGACTTGTGCTTTGAGACTGAATAATTCACGTAGAGTACCTTCATCTGTCAGAGGGGGCGACTGCTGACTGTGAACAACCAAACATCTCTGCCCTCACTGTCATTATAATTGTCTTCGACTGACTCTGTCTCTGGCAGTGAAGTAATGGCAGGAGCACTCGAGAGTAAAACACATAAATCAGCTGTCACATTTGTCTACGCAATTAAGAGAGAAAATACCGCAACTTCCCTTAAAGAGATCAGATAGAAATGTTTTTTTTTTTTTAGATGTGTAGAGTCTCATGGCAAGCTGACATGAGTTTCCTAAATAACTATAAATGACATTGATATTATTACCTGACAAGGTCACTGGGCTTCTTGAAGCTCTTGGGGCAGTAACTGCAACAGTTTGCAAACTTAGGTTCTGTCTCCAGCTCCACGGCCTTGTCTTTGATCTCGCTGATCCGATCCCTCTCAGCCGCCGACTGGGCGAGGATCCGCTCCGACACCGAGGCCTCCTCGCCGGGATCCTTCGCCAGCTCGGCCGCCTGTTCCTCAGTAAAAGTGATGATTTCCAAGCCCCTCCTCTTAGACAACTTTTGCTCGCTGTCCTCGTCATCCTCCTCTTCATCAACATCTTGACTTTCCAGACCTATAACTGTGAGAACACGGGTCGATTATTATTATTTGTTGCTGCCTAAAATTATGTGTCAGCTCAAACTGAGGCAAAGATGCATCCAAACTGAATAATTTTCAACTTGAGGAAAAATATACAGCTTATCTCAACAGTTGGAAATCATTTCCACACACACATTACTTGAGAACTTAACTCATCTGTTCCATTTTGAGCAACTGCACATAAGTCCCCAATGTCATTCTCATACTCCTAGATATTTTGTTTATACTTTCCAACTTTTCAGATTTCTTTCTAACTACAGAGACGCAATAGAATTTTAATGAGCCAGTGTATAACTGAGTGTCATGTAACAAAACAGTCAAATGGTATCTCGGCATCTTTACTTTGTTCCTCCACAGCATGCTCCTTCTTCATATGCTTTTTACACAGCAGGCTGGTCCTGAAGCTCTCGTCACACATGGAGCATTTGAAAGATTTGATGTGGATAATCATGTGGCGGTTCAGGCTGCCATTGGTGGTGAATGAGGCGTCGCAAACATTACACTTAAAGGGCTTCACTCCTGTTAGTGAGAGATGAGAGAGGCAAGTGTCAGGAAGTTATATTAAAAAAAATATACATATATTTTAATTTTACCACAGGAAATTGAATTTATGAACTTAAAAAAAACCCAAATTATAAAACTGGAGAACTTTAATGTGCCATGTTGCTAATTCAGTCCCTTAAAAAGAAACTTAAAGAAACTACTTAAATAATACAAAACTAAGACTTCTAACAACTGTAGTTGAACCATTTAAACATTTTGTAAAAATTTAATTTTGATCATGACCTTCTTTTTTCTACACAGAGACTGATGGTATTCTCTTTTTTCCACTGCTTCCTAGATCTTTAATTGCACAGCTCACAGGAAAGGTTGATTATGAATCCATTCATCGCGTTTTAATGAAAACCTTTTAAATTTTAACTTTGGTGTGATTAAAATGCAGGATCAGGCTTGGGGAGATAAGGTAATCAATTATTTTACCCACAATGTTCCAGTTGGAATTTCTTCACATATTCTAATTTAAATACAAAGGAATATGATATATTTAAATGTGTTCAAGACCTTTAAAAGCTTTGAATGTGGACAATATATTTAACTTAGGAAGGAAGACATTTGGAGATTTTCTCAGCACCTTTATGAGGCGAGCTCACCTGTATGCGTGTTGAGGTGGGACTTCAGGACTCCGGCTGACACAAACGCTCGCCCGCAGAGGTGACATCTATATGGTTTCTCCCCAGTGTGGGAGCGCACGTGCTGCTTCAGGTGGCTTGACTTTTTGAAGCCTTTATTACACCAATTGCACCTGAGGAGGGGAAATGGTGAATCAGTGGCTGATGTTTGCTACTAAGATTTGCCAAAAGAATTGATTTGATGCAGAACTGTATATAATTCCGGAGCAAACTGGGCTGATGAGGGACTGTTTGTTTCTAATGGCAAAGAGAGGAAGTCTACAAAGTGAATATTGCAAGCTCCCAAAAATTTACATGGCATGAATACTTGAGTGTTTATCAAATCTCAGAGTGTGTGTTCCCTTCATAATATTCAAATAAAACTGGAGTCTCTACGGATTATGCAGCAGTTTCTAAACCAAAAGGCGTCAAACTGAAACCTCTTTTTCTTTCAAACTCTTTCAGAATCTGATGGCCTCTTTGTCAACGCAACTCAAGGGAGCACAAAATGACTCCACAAATGTGCACAACAACAAACGGGACTTATCATAAGCACCATCAAAACCCAAATGAAGTAACTTATTGCCACTTCCTCGGCACCATTCAGCAGAAATGATGAGCCTTAGCAGACAGCCAAGAGTCCATTGTCCCAGAAGCAGCTGGCAGGTGAAATAAAGGTTTTGTTTGTTTATTTGCTGCATGGGCAGATGCTGTGTGGGCAACTGTTAATTATGCCATGTGATACTCGGAAACATCTTGAAAACACGGTCTTGTCATAGCCAGTTGGTGAAGATAGCTGCAACTTTTAACTTTAAAAAAAGGTCCAATTTGGATTTATTTGCTGCACTTTTTGTTGGCTGGTTGCAGTAACTTCCTGGAGTCCTGCCGTTTCAGTGTGGTTGTGGAGACTGGAACATAATCACTCATAAAACAACAAATGTGTCATTTTTATGCTTATTTTTTGTATGGGTTAAAAAACAAGATATCTCATGTTAATTTGTGAGTTGTTTCCCCTTGCTCCCAATCTTTGTCCTAAGCCAACCAGCTGCTGGCGGGTAGCCTCACATTTAGAACACAGACATGGGAGTGGTATCAATCTTCTTATTTAACTCTTGGCAATTAAGCAAAATAAACACATTTCCCAAAATGTCAAACTATCCCTCAGGCTGGGATTACATGAAGAGACAGAGATAGATGCCTAAATCCACTGAAGACCTGTGGCTGTTCTCCAAGCTGCCTGGCACAACCTACCTGTCAATACCATGAAAAACCTGCACGGGTGCTGTTTTAAAGGCAAAGAATGGTCGCAGCAAATATCGATTTTTATCTGTTTACTGCACAACTGGCTCACAGTAATAATAATATCATAGCTAGGTATGCGGTATTTTCTTCCATGAAGGCAGCTCGGTCTTTAAACAGAGATGGACGGGCACGGTGCTGCTCCATCTGACTGATGCATGAAACCATCATCTGTATCTCGCAAGCTGAGGCAGATCAAAGAAACGCGCTCTATTCTTTCCTTGTGAGGGTTGGTATATATGTGTTTCTTTTTCTTACCGCAGTGAACTTTCATTGAAAAAGTTTCCACAAGGCAGAAGAACCCCCATGTTTACCATCTATCCTCACTAGACCTGCATTAATATTAAACTGGTGTCAGGGATGGAAACTTGTGACAATATTGCTGTTTCTCTCTACGGCTCCGAGTCTAGAAGGGAAATATCAAACTACAGATGATGTTTTTTTTTGTTTTTATGTTTTGTTTTTTTGCTTTTTTTGATTTGAGTCAAATCCCCTGAAAGAATTTTAAAAAAAATCAATAAAAAAGAGGTATGTGGCTTATCTCAGCTCTGTACATCCTATTTCTACCTTTCACAAAAGTGAGCAATTTTCTGAAAGGTTCTTGGTTGGTCTGATACAAAGATGGGGAAGTGATTACGACACAATCAGGTCTGGGATACCTGAGCAAACATGAACACATCTCTGGGGCAAGTCTCTAAACGCTTTGTATTATCCGGGGAAATGGTTGAAATGAAAGATGCTGATAACAAAGGCAGGTGAAGTAATAAAGGCAGTCAGTGTGAAAGCTGTAAACAATGCCTTCATCTTCCCCAGGCTGAGAGCTTATGATGGTGTGTATCATTAATCTGTTTTTAAGATTTTTTTTGGGATATAATAGATCATACAAACACAATGAAAACAGTGCATAGTGGGAAACTGAAAAAACAAGATTAAAATTACTCAGAGAGCGGAGCGTAGAGAAAGAGGTCATCAAAACAATATGAAAACACCAGCACAAAACCTCTGTCCATACCAGTTTAGACCTGCTACAACACTGCACTTTATCCTCACCAATTAAAACCAAGTAACTCTCATGATAAGTTGATGCCAATAATTTGGAAAAGAGGGGCATCAGTCAAGAAGGTGAACATGAGAAAAGACAAAAAAGGAGACTGACAGAAGTTCCTGTCCCGACATGGGAGAATGTGTCAGGCAGAAAACCATCCCCGCAGCACCACGGCTCATCAGGCCTGAGTGCTGCAGTGCAATCAAGCCTAAAAGGTGGAATGAATATAGACAGCAGCCAGAGTTAGCTGCAGTTTGCCAAACTGCTCTCAAAGTACTTTGAGAGCAGAATTTCTGGTTTGATGGGGCAAAAATTGCACTCTCTGGCCTGAATGCCAAGTGAAAACCAGTTTTGCTCATAGCATGGTAAATAACACATACGTATATAGTGGAGTGCGGCTATGGTAAGATCCCAATAGGAGGAGGCATAATGAGAGGTGAGGATTGAGGCGGCAATGAACAAAGAGTAAACTATCAAAATGGGCAAAGATTCACTTTTCAGTACGACTCGAATCGCTCAGCCAAGACAACGGGGGGAAGTTTTTGGGAAAGTCACTGAATGTCCTTGAAGAGCCGAGCAAAATGCTGGAGTTAACCGCTGAAAATTGATGAAGAGATCTAAAGATCACAGTTCACTAATGTCCTCCATCTATTCTGACAGAGCTTTGAGAGAATCTTTCAAGAAGAAAGGCAGAAATTGGCTTTGAGAAATAAAGGTGTGTCCAGATGGTAGAGCAAGACTCAGAGGACTTAAAGCTCTCATTTCCACTACTGGTGCTTTTCCAGATGGTAGGAATTTAAAAAGGAGAAGAGGAGCGAGTGCAGGCCTGGACATACACACACACACGCACGCACACGCACGCACGCACTCACGCACGCACGCACACACACGTGCACACACAATAACACAGAAGTAAACCTGTAGGCTCTCTTGGTGTTGTCCTCACTGCTGTCCTGGTAATCCTGTGTCTCAGTCAGCTGAAGCTCATTCTGACTGCTCTGCTGAAGAAGCCCATTCGTCTAAATCAACAAAGACAAAGCAACAACACCTCACTACAGACAGAAATACATGTACAATTCAATTATTTAATGTTTGATCCGGGTAAACTCTTTAAATAAACAGTTCGACATTTTGAGAGAAGACTGATGCCACTCCCGTGTCTGTTCAACACGTAGGAAGCTGGAGACAAGTGGAAGGAAGGGGAGCAGCTGGCCTGCCTCTCCAGATGTTCAGAAATACACCTACCAGCACCTCTAAAGCTCAATAATTTACAAACTCCTTTAACCCTTAGTCAGACAGATATGTCAACAAAGGACAATATGTGGTATTACATGAGGTTACAAGTCAAGACTACAGAACAACAGTTTGTCAATTTTTTTAATCTTAAAATGCTTCTAGTGTTTATGTTAAGCTAGGCCAACCGCCCCCCCCCCGACACCAGCTCCATACTTAATGCACAAACATGAAGGTGGCATCAATCTTCTCAAAACTAATATTTCCCAAAATGTCTAACTCACTTGTTGTATTATGTTTAATACAGATTACACCCAAAAGAAATTCGGCTACCCACTGTCCTACATTAATTATGCAATTCTTTGCATCAATTTTCAAATTCATTCTATATGCAGAATATTCCACTGCTTTGGACCTTCATTGTAATTTCAAGAGGATCAATTCTTGTGACATCATTATGTAAATCTATGTAGCCAACTACACTTAAATTTGATCTAATTATTGTCTCTGAAATGAACAATCGACTGGACTGAAATCCCTCTTAAATATCCTACCCAAAGAATGATTCTGTGAATAGATTAAATCAGAATCTGAGAGGTGAAAGCCAAGTGAATGGGTGAAAGGACTAAGCAGTCACTCACCACTTCAGCACTGGGAACATGGAGCAGATTGGGTGGGTGATAGCTGGAGGACAAAGCCTGAGACTCCAGGGTGCTGGAATCCTGCAGCTGCTGGACGGTGGAGAACTGGGACTGATTGTAGCTCGAGTCGGTGATGGTGAAGCCTGGAGGGAAGCAACAATAGAATAAGAAAAATCAGACTCATGAGTCAGAGTCACTGATCAGATTTATAAGTATGAGCATTGGTCTATACAGATTTTTTTAAAAATCAAAATAGAAATTTACTTTTCAACTGAATAAACACTCAGCAGATAAGGAAGATGATTATCGTACGCAACAGCTAAAGTCGATCCACAACTCAGCACAAATGCAGTTGATGAGTAAATAAAACACAAATCCTTGTCTCAGCAAAAATAATAATTGGAAACTGATTATCCAGCTTCAACACAACATGGCAAAATAACAGGCAGAACTTGGCTCGCTGGGAGCAGGGAGGATGACGTCTCTTGATTTTAAATTATTGAACTTTGAGCAAAATCATTCATCGAAACTGTTGACTGCTGACAATAATTGCTGACAAGCACTAGGATTATGTTCTGCAGCAGAAATATATTGCTTGATCAACAGTCTTGAATCTGTTTTTGCTGTTTTTTGTGTGAAAACTGTCTAGTAAAAACCACCAAAGTAGGAATGTTAGAGAGCAACTGACTGCTGCTTTAGTGTTACTGCACCATAACACTGCGTGTGTCTATGGCCAACAAATGTATTAGTAAGTCATTTGCTGGTGTGACTGTGAAAGAAGCTAACGCTGGGGCTGCATTTAACAGTTGCTTACAGTAATTGGAATGAGTATCTAGATAATTATTATTTTCATCTGCTCCTTCACCAGTACAGGAAAAGAGACAGTTATTTTCTTGTTGTGTATTTCAACTGCACGCAAAAATGTTAACCTGTTTTTAATAAACTGATATATGATAATGGAAGTGGTCAGAAAATGTTAATGTGTTTAAAGCACAGTCCAGGTTGTTTTTTTCTCAGCAAATGTATATAAAGCCCAGCAGTAAGAAGCTTTTAAATGTATTCTTTCAGAGTTTTGTGTCCAGTGTTTTGCTTTACGCTGTTTTCTGTTGGGGGAATGGCATCAACACCAATGATAGGAACAGGATCACAAAATAAGTAAAAAGGCTGTTTTTTTCTAATTGGGTTGATGCTTGATTCATTAGAGACAGTTTTGGAGGAAAGGAACAGAATGATAATTCAGACCACATTTCAGTTTGAAGCTGAAAAGGAAAACAGCCCAAAGCTTCTTTCTGTTAATTTTAAGGTTTTTAATGTCGGGCAGTGTGGGCGCTCAGTATTCATTCATTCTGTGACACTAGATTTGCTGTAGACCCAATGTGTGAACCTCAAACAAAGCATGATACATGCACCTGTGAACTTGGAGCTGCAGCAATTTACTAAATGAGACTGAGATAACTGAGATGATGCAGTGAGGAAAGTATGTTACAAATAACAAGACAAAACAGGTTTTCCCTTAGAAGCCCCCAAGAATCAGTATCATAAACTTTAGGACAACTATATAATAATGCTTTAGCCATGATAGAAGTACACTGGGGGTTAAATATAATCAGATGCTGAAGAGTCTTCTTGCTCAAGGGTCTGTACCCTTGAAAATATGATGACACTCAAGGCCATATGGCCTCGTCCCTAAAGTGATGAAACTCCAGGTCTGTTCTGGTAAGATAAAAACGATACGGTGCCTCCTGAGGGAATGGAAGAGGGAGATTTGCCTCACAGATGTTTGCTGTCAGCTTGCTATACTGCCTGAGGAAGCTGCCCAAAGCCCACTGTTCTGATAACACTGCATCAAGGCTGGCAACAACATTCAGTTGGCACGGTCGAAAACATGGTGAGTGAGTTGCTGGGAGTAAAGAGGCAACCATATGTTTGAGAGCATCAGCACACTAGCTCAAGAGTTACACAGCAGAGAGGGGAGAATGGAGACACACAGCTCGAGGACACTCTCTCAGATAGAACATGTAATATGACCAAATTAACTGTTCGGTTTGTTGTGGGGAAAGTAGCGAATCTGGCTTTTTCACACCAATTTCACTCAACAAGTGCTCTCTCCCTGGTGCAGCTGCAACATAGAAAGTTTATTCCATCACTAATATTTTTGTTTGTTTGATTTCTTCTTAAAGCTAATCTAAAGGGAGTTAATTATGTGTTTGCTTGGGGCCAACAATTGCACAATGCATAATCAAGTAATGCTTAGAGCAGAAAACACTACAGGGCTATTAGTGCAACTATAAATGTGTTGCTATAAATCGTTGTATGTAAGAAAACGTATGTTTGGCACAACAAGAGAGGATACAGTCTACACAGACTTCCTACTTCTTTTCATTTGTGAGTTGTAATGTTTTTTTGTTTTATGTTACCTGCCTAGTTAATTATCATTTTTGCTACAATACAGCATGTTTACATTCTTCATTTTGTACTGATGTTCATTAATGGAGATGCATTGCCCCTCATAAATTTCTTTGTCATACGGTCAGTAGCATATTTCTGTGTGTGTGTGTGTGTGTGTGTGTGTGTGTGTGTGTGTGTGTGTGTGTGTGTGCATGCACGTGCATGTGTTTGTACCTTGCGTTAGAGCTTGCTGGTCAAAGGCAGGCTGAGGAAGTGCTGGTGTCTCAAACTGGCTGATATTCGGAGGCAAAGCATGTTGGGTAGTCACATATGAGTCTGTCAAGAGAGAGAAAGAGATCTTATTGACTTGTCTCCTCTTTTAAAAAAATAACACGTCCCGTCCTTCGTATGCACAGTACTTCAGTCTATGCACTCATGAAAATGTCATCAAATATAAATAGCTGAGATCAAGACTGTTGAACCTGAGGACAAGACATGCATTTTAAACCTGAGGCAGTTTGCTGTACCAATAACAAAAAGCTCATTATGAAGAACACAGCGTTTTCAGAAGAAACAGTTTCACAGAAAAATATAACATTGAATTGACCTGTTCTGTATCTGAAGTACTGAGATGTTTTCAGTGACTGGGGTCTTATCCCACATTGATCATAGGTTAGACTGTAATCCATGAAGAGCTCCAGCATAAGTAGCACGTTTAACCACATTAAGCTGAAATTACTTTTTTATAATGTGCAAACTGTACTGAAATTTGTACTGTTACAAATCGGACATACTGTATATACTGTGTCATAACAGGATATTTAAAAAAAAATGTAAGTTCTCTAGTTGTAGTTTTGAACATTAACATGAACAATTTAAATGCCATTCCTACCTTCTCCTTGTACCAGTGGTTGATCACTCAGGGGCGCCTCCAGTGTCACTTGTTGACCTCCATTCACAACCTCTGTCTGGCCCAGTCCCAGCATGCTTTGCTGCTCTGCTGAGGTGACAGGTGGCTGCTGGAGGGAGTCACCCTCTATTTCCACCTGCATATCATGGGCAACAGCGCCTGCTCCCAGTGGGTCTTCTGTTGACTGGGGCTGCAGCTGCTGCGCCAGTTCATACCTGGTTTGGCAGAACAAGAAAGGCCCAACGTTTCAACTTAAGCCCTGATGATAATCATGCATTAGTGTTTTTTGTATTTTAGTGTGTTACTATATTTTTACTTGAAGTTTCTAGATAGTATACGACTTCTTTGTCACTGCATATCTGGCACTCCAATGTAAATGCTAAAAAGTGCACTAAAGAAAATACATTAAAACAAACACACCACCAAAGCACAAACCTGTGTGTCTTCATGTGCTTCCTGCAGTTTGGCGATGACTTGAAGGTCTTCTGGCAGTAGGGGCACATGTAAGGTCGTAGATCACTGTGGGTGGTCATGTGGCGTCGCAGGCTGCCACTGGTAGTGAATGTCGTGTCGCACATCAGGCACTTGTATGCCTTTAGGCCTGAGTGTGTCCTGATGTGAGCTTTGAGCACTCCAGAGGAGGCAAAACCTCGACTGCACTGCACACACTTGTAGGGCCGTTCTCCTGTGTGAGACCTGGGATGATAAAAGGATGATAGACATGGCATAAAACTGTTGTTTTTTTTAATGATTTTTTTAAGGCCTAGTGAAGTTTTTAATCGAACTGACTGCATTTTATTCCTGAAAATAAACAATATGAACAGAATACATCATTATCACTTCAGAAAAATGGAAAAGGCGGAGGAGGCATGGTTTGGTGTGAGCTGTCATAACAATTTATGGCTCCGGTGTTTTGTTTTTTTTAGGTGTTGCCGTTCCAGTTTCATCAGCGAATCCAGGGAACTATCACTAGTGGCAGATATAGATCTGCTATTTGATATACAAGCCATTAATCTAAATCTGCCGACACCAAAGACAAATGGTGAGGTGCCAACCATCTAAAGGAACTGCACAGATAACGGCGCCATCATTTACGAGTTAACCTCTCAATATTTGAATGAAAACAAATAAATGCTGTCATAATGCAAATGGTAGACAGTTCAACAGAGATACATAGATGCTGTTTAATGCTGTATTTTTTGCAGGGCTGACAGGGGCATTTTAAAGTTAATTTAATAAAGTCCTTGGACTGCTCATCTACAGTAGGGTCCGAAAGTCTGAGACCACTTTCGCTTTAATGGGAATAAGAGTATATGAATGGGAAATTGGGGGTCTTCTTCTTTAAATATGACCTAGTTGCTCCTCCTCTATCCACCAGCTAACGACTATATACTATCCCTTCACCCTCTCCTGTCTCTCCCTCACAGCCTCTTCTTCTCCTGGCTGTCGATGAGCTTAAGTCTAAAGCTAAAGTATATTTACCAAGCTCAACACTATTCTCAGTAGCTGTCTGACATGAGGCTAAGTTTATAAGAACCATTTTGAGGAGATTTCTGGGATTTGCTGCTCTGCCCTACTGAAGACTCCATCAACCTCCCAGTTGTGGAAAAAAATCCATTTTCTGTAAAGTGATAAAACAATAAGCTTTCTTCCTTTTGAGCAAAACTTTAAGTAGGAATTTTGGCCTGAGAGTGGAGGAAAGGCATGACCATGATTAGCAAGGTTTACCTTATAAGGGCATTTATACGTTATCCTTTATATTCATTATTTATACTTGTTAAACAGAATTGGTGGTGGTTGGTAATACCTCCTCTTTGGTGGAACAACTAACTAGCTCCATCCTTGGCCACATTTTGTTCTCTTTTTGTTAAAAAATTTTCAACAACATCACATCATTAAAATATCAAGTACTACTATTATGTTTAAACAGACAGCAGCCTCCATCACATACTTCTATGTCTCTCACAATTCACGTGTTGAATGTTCCCAGCCTTTATCAAGTTAAATGAAAAGAAATTAGAAATATTTGTACTTGGTCCTCAAAAGTCCATCTATATTTCGTTCCAATCCAGCACCAGATCTCTGGTGTGCAATAATAATAACTCAACCCGAGAATGGAGCATGATGAAACACTAAGTGGTGAGTCTAGAATGGGATACACCCTCTGTAGAGAATGAATATACCCTAAGAATAAAGTAATAAATAATAAAGAAGTCTTACCTGACATGCTGTTTCAGATGGCTTGATTTCTTATAGGCCTTACTACAGAACTGGCACTTATAAGGCCGGTCATTGCCCACCACCTCCAGGTACTGCTGGAAAGCCAGGCGAGGGTTCTGCGATGGGATGAGGCCTGTTAAACAACATGAGAACATGTGAATAAGGACTAGTGAGAATAGACATTTCAAGTTGTGCAGAAACACACAACACACTTGAAGAAACATAAGCAAGGAAGTGACCGAACAGTGCAATGCAAAAACACCAGAGAAAGAGTGTGTATGTTTACTATGAGGAAAAATAGATACAACACCACCCTATGTGCCTGCCCACACATGCTCTTACCAAAGTCAGTGATGAGGATGGGTTCCTGCAGGGGAATATCAGGCAGAGGTAGATTACTCTTTGACACTTTGGCTTTGTTGGTTTTCCGTGGAAATTTGTGTTTCTTCTGCTGCAGGCTTTTGAAGTGAGAAGCAATGTGTGTCTTCCTGTGGCCTGATGTACGAAAGATCTTGTCACAGTGAGGGCAGGGGAAAGGACGCACACCTGGGGAGAGTGGGTAAAAACAGCACTTTTGGAGAATTAGCATTTAGAGAATTAGACTGATTCTGAAATGTGTACTTTGATAGACACATCAAAAGATTATATGATATATATAAGAATCTAAGAGTTACTATCCCTAAGCCAATCTAAACAAATAATATGAAACTCACACATAAACCAAAAATGTAAGCTCTTATAATTTTATTCAATTTTTGGCTACAAAAGGTTACAAAGCCTTTTAGTTACCAGGAGACAATATATATTTCTATGGAACCAAATTACAGCACAAGAAAATGTGACAAAGATATGAAACTGCATAAGCACAAAGCCTAACATCATACTTATCAAAAGCCTTCGCTTAGAGCGAACACATTATCAAACACCTAACATAGACAGTGCTATTACATAGTAATTAGAGGGACAAAAACTAATGCACAAATGCACATGATAATCAAACTGTTACAGTTTTGTTTATTCACACTAATGCTGACATTTCATGTCCAGGGGAAGATACTTTAAGGTAGGTTCTCTAAAAAGAGGCAAATACAGAATGATCACAAGCAGCACCGATTTATTTACACAGGTCCAGCTTTTGTAATCTGCTATATAATTTATCATATAACATATAGCTAAATACCAACTGATAGAGGCTGCAAGGAAAATGAAAACATAATGTTGAAGGCTCATGTATGTCTCATTTAATTTGTGCAAATAGGGATTATGTTGGCATAACAGTTGTATGATGTGACAGAAGGAATAAGCCAGTAAAGTGAAAAGTGCGTTCAAATTTTCATTTCATTTTGGCTTTAAGTGTAACCCTTTCATAAAGTGGACCTGCTTCTCACCTGTATGCAGTCGCATGTGTACCTTCATGCTTCCAGAAGTGGAGAAGCACTTCAGACAGCACTGACACTCAAAGGCCTTGATACCCGTGTGCGTTTTCATATGTGCAGTGAGGGTACTCTTGACAGCAAAAGCTCTGAAGCACTGTTTGCACTTGAAAGGCTTCTCGTGGGTGTGAATGCGGATGTGGCGAACAAGGTCACTCGGTTTCTTGAACTCCTTGGAGCAGTATGGACAGCCATGCCAGCGAACGCCATTCTCTTCCCTAATGGAGCCTGGAAGAAAAAAACAAAAAACAAAAGTGAAGCACCTGTCCGTTGCTTGCTTGTGTTGAATGGTGCTGCAGCTCAAAGCGGTTTTCATTTGTCGTCTTTGAAAATAAAGGATTATTCTGTTTATAACATTTAAAAAATGATAAATTTGCTGATTTAATTTGAACAGCAGCTGGTAAACAAAGGCATTAATCTATGATCATATGAATGCAGAGAAGCAAAACTTTTTAATGTATTTTCAATCTGCAAATGTTCAGTAATTTACTAAGTTAATATACTAAACTCATTAAATGGTTATATGAATTGTAATTGGAAGATTGTAATTGGATGTTTTTGTTGATCCATTAATGGATTTAGTGAGTAATCTTTTCTGTAACAGGGTTTTCTGTAAGGATTTTTCCAAAGAATTAAGTAAAGTTAATCAGTAATTACGAAGCCTGCTGAACTTCAAAACTAATTCACAAGGAGTCGAAAACTCAACTCACAAAATTTACCTCCTACCTGGCATTTGTATAGGTTTCTTGAAAATGCTCCTTTTCTTCTCCCTGATGGGTTTGTCTGGACCTTGTACTTTCTTGCTTTCTACCACGGCGCCCTCGGTGGTCTGGCTCTGTGAGTCTCTGGATGTGGCATCACCCTGCGGCTGGACCACACTCAGCCCACTGTTCTCCAGAGCTTGCTGCAGAAACGACAGACATCTGCTCACAGGCCACAACATAAGCTTAAATATGCCTTCAAGTACAATAAACTGCATTTACGGTAATCATAAAAAAAAAATCCCCACACATAAATTTGAAAGAAAAAAAAAAATACTAAAGCTAATCATGCTATGGATTGGTATTATTATATATGAGGTATGGCTTGGAAAATACTGACAATACAGCCAGGTCCGAAACCAAAGCTCATTTATAATCAAACCCTATTTTGTTGTGGAGCAGAAGCTCTATTGAACTCTCCCGCAGTACTCATTCATAAAGATTCCTGGTACAAAGGCATTAATATACTGTCTTCTTTCACCTGGATGGATCGCCCACTGTGACTAATCCTGCCATTCAGTCACCAAAAGAGAGCAGCTTTAGAGTGCATATGATCTGGGTTCAAACAAGCGTCATTTAAGGGGACATTTTAGTGAGATTATGGACATTTTTTTTTCTTTTCATCACTTTCTCTGTGTCCGAATACATTCCCACTGAGGGTCCTCTAATCGCCAGCTAAATGATTTCTGTATAAATGGGTCCATCCTGGCTTTTTCAGCTGTAGACTGACAGTTTGCTGATGTGAGTGTGTGAATGTGGATCTGTGCATTCAGGTTTGTGTGCTCTTCTGTATAAGTGCTAGGACACAGACATAAAGACGAGGAGAATTTTCCAAATGCAGAGCTTTTGTCCATCCTCATAACTTCTGGGTTTTCTTCTGATCATCTAATACATTTAGTGTGTCTGTGTGTGTCTGTCTGTGTGTGTGTCCCTTGCTCACCTGCAAGATGTCCTGGTTGATGGCAGTTTCCATGACAATTGCTGGCTCTGGAGGTTGGGGCTGGGCTGTCTCCCCGCTGACCTGTTCAGACAGCTCTAGAAGTTGCTGGATGACATCTGTCACCCCCTCGCCGCCCTCTGAACCCCCCGGACCCTGACCTGTCGTCTCTGTCTCCTGTGGGAGAAGAAGAGGGGGAATGGAAGGAGAAAGAAGGAAGAAAGAAGTCGAGGACCAATGTGACAACGGGCCAGGACAGGCCATAATCTGAAAGCTGATTAATTTTTATTAGGAATTCTGTGGAGCATAAAATAAGCAAAGAATTGGGTATTATCAAACCAAACGTTAATTAGTGTCTGCCTATGTCTGAATCATTGACTCATTGATACATCATGCATCACACCAACAAAGACAATGACATACATACTGTCAGTGGTTTTGTTTACATATACAGTGTGAGCCTTTGTGGTTATGTGTGCATACACTCACCGAGCACATTATTAGGAACAGCAAACTGATACTGGGTAGTTCCTCCCTTTGCTCCCAAAACAGCCTCGAGTTTTTTGTGGCATGGATTCCACAATGTGTTAAATAGACTTGCACTTTTATAGCGCTTTTCTAGTCTTACTGACCACTCAAAATGCTTTACAATACTTGCCACATTCACCCATTCACTCACACATTCATACATCACACTCATACGCCGATGGAATAGCTATCAGGGGCAACATGGGGTTCAGGATCTTGAATTTGCCTGAGGGGAGCTTCGGGGAAGCAAATGTCCAGAGAAGATACAGGGACATTTGATTGGGTTTGGCAGATTTTTGGAGTTTCAACCTCCCCCTAGGGATCCTGGAAACTGTACAGGCGTGAGTAAGATGCTAAAAAATAGTTTGAAAACCGAGCCACTAGAGAGGATGAATCTGGAGTGTTTTTGTGACAGCGTGAGGGGATAAGAAAGAGCTCCAGCAAGGTGTTCTCAGTGCCATGATGACGAGCTCTATTCGGCAGCTGGCTTCAGGATGAGTGTGAACATACAACAAACATTTGGGAAAAGATGGATGGACACAGGAGGAGTGTCATTTCTCATGGGTCCTAGAGGTGTGTTTTCATGGTAGTGGTAATCATGATGTGAGCGCAAAGGACTGGGTTCAGGATCTTGCCCAAGGACACTTCAACAAGCGGCCTGGAGGAGACGGGGATCGAACCACCGATGTTCTAATTAGTGGACGACCCGCTCTACCTCCTGAGCCACATTCTTTTGATTCTGCTCCATGTTGACATGATTACATCGCATCATTTCTGCAGATCTATCAGCTGCACATTCATGCTGCCACTCTTTTGTTCTACAGGTTTTCTACTGGATTCAGATCTGTTGACTGAGGAGACCACTGAAGTTCACTGAACTCATTGTCATGTTAATGAAACCAGTTTGAGATCATTTTTTTTATCTGTGCATTACCCTGCTGGAAGTAGCAAGTAGAAGATGGTAACTGTGGCTATAAAGGGATGCACAACAATACTGAAGGGAGTTTATCAAAAGGTACTGTAGCATGTCTGTCAGCTCCAACCAGTCGGCCCATTCTCCTCTGACCTTTCTTATCAACAACGTGCTTCTGTCCACAGAGCTGCTGCCCTCTGGATGTTTTTGCTTTTTCCGAAAATTCCAGGAGATGAGCAGTTTCAGAAAAACTCAAACCAGCCCATCTGGCACCAACAATCCTGCCATAGTCAAAGTCACTGAGAGCACATTTGTCCCCATTCTGATGTTTGATGTGAACATTGACTGAAGCTCCTGACTTGTGTCTGCATGATTTTATGCATTGCACTGCTGCCAAATGATTGGCTGATTGGATAACTGCATGAATATGAAGATGTACAGGTGTTCCTTATAAAGTGCTAAGTGAGTATGTGTGAAAGGCAGCATTTAAACATCAATCAACTGCAAATAATAATAAATTATAATTAATTACAGAATAATTACCAAATAATGTTGACACATTATTACCATTGTTGTAGACAAAGGAGACCATCAGTGAGAAGACTGGCAGGCTCTACACTGCACTTTAGACTCCATGCCAGCCCAAATTTGGCAGAAGATCTGCTTGATTGGTTCATGGCAGAAGGGAAATTGTTAAACAGCAGAGGAGAGTGCTGCTCTTTCAGTGGAAATGAAGCTGAAGATTTTTGAGTTTTTGGCAATGGAGCATAATGAAATGCCAATAAAACAAAATAATCAGCACTGTTATCTACCAGTAAAGAGCAAAATGAAAACCTGTTTTTTCTAAGCAACAAAAAAAGCAACGTGCAGGGAAAATAAAAGCTTGAATTTTTACAAACACAAGCACTAATTATACCTTGGCTGTGAGATGAAAGCTACCAACTATCATGACAATAGACTTGTTTGAAGCAACCAAAGCAAGGAATCAAGTATTTAACAACCATATACCCTTGTTACCTTGTTTGTACCTGTCACATTTCCATAAAAAAGAAAATTAAAAGTACTAAATCTCATTCACAGTCAAACTGAGTGATAGTGACTTACTTCTTAACGAAGGAAAAAAAAAACTGTAAAATGAGATCGTGAAATTGTCTGACTTTAAGCAGGAGTGAAAAATTTAGTAAACTAAGTAAAAGCAAACTGCCAAAGTAATTGTTTCAATATGGCTGTTAGCCACTGACATTACTTGAGAACCTCAATCTCTCTCTCCGTGATGGGAAACAGAGCAGCTGACTTCAGGACTAACATAAATCATAACTAAGTGTGTGGAGAGAATTTTAGTATATCTCATTATCCAGCAGAGTCAAGAGACTGAATTTACTTGATTGTGTTCAAAGTTGATGCCGCGGTTAGAAAGGGTAACAAACATTTTGTTCATGTTTTCTACATGGTGCTCTCTTACCGGAGTGCTGGATGGGACCTCAATCACAGAGATGTGCATTTTGCTGATGTGGGCGTTCAGACTGCCCAGCTTCTTAAATACACAGCTGCAGTCCATGCACGGGAACAGCGGAACCCCTTTAGTCTATAAGAGCACATACAAAAAACAAAAAAACAAACACAAACAAGACACTGAATACTGCCAATTAAAACAAGCTTCATACAGTTATTAGTTGAAGTTATCATATATTACCTTAAAGACATAAACATACTGCATTTGGTCTGTCCTCAGTAGTCGGAAAAAGTGTCAGAAAAATTGTCAAAGTTCTGTAGGGTGTAGGGCGATCATTAGTACCCGGTGATCACCAAATGAACTCAAAACATAATGGGAAATCGTAACTGCTGGATGCCAGAAATACACTTCACTTTTTGCTCTTGTTAGAGGTGTTGGCATAACGGCGGTTTCATCAAAATACACAGTTTCATAAAGAAATGAAAGTTACGTTGATATATTTGCTTTTTTTCTGGTACTGGTAAAGGTGTGGACTTTCATTTACACATATAAATGAGTACTCACACCTCTTGAGTCAGTTATTATTATTTGTAATAATATATGTAGGAATAATGAACTGTTCTCTTGTGAATTACCCCACCTGGTGGCTCCTTATTTCTTCTATTACGATGTAAACAATTCAAATTGGCATGCACTAATATATGCCATAAGTTATATTTACTTCAAGACCTCAGACATAATATTCATATCTATATCTGTCAATCTTAGTAGTAAGTGTCAGTCCTGTGACAACCACTGAGTATGAATTGGGAATGAGGCAGTGTTGATGTTTGGATGGAAAACAGTGGAGTTTGTTGAATTTGCCTGAGGGGAGCTTCGGGGAAGCAAATGTCCAGAGAAGATACAGGGACATTTGATTGGGTTTGGCAGATTTTTGGAGTTTCAACCTCCCCCTAGGGATCCTGGAAACTGTACAGGCGTGAGTAAGATGCTAAAAAATAGTTTGAAAACCGAGCCACTAGAGAGGATGAATCTGGAGTGTTTTTGTGACAGCGTGAGGGGATAAGAAAGAGCTCCAGCAAGGTGTTCTCAGTGCCATGATGACGAGCTCTATTCGGCAGCTGGCTTCAGGATGAGTGTGAACATACAACAAACATTTGGGAAAAGATGGATGGACACAGGAGGAGTGTCATTTCTCATGGGTCCTAGAGGTGTGTTTTCATGGTAGTGGTAATCATGATGTGAGCGCGAAGGACTGTGAGAGATTTCATGAAGAGGCAGTGAGGAGAGAGGAGAGTGAAGGCAGACATGGCAACAATGACGAAAAGGTCAGCACAGAAACCCAGTCTATGGAGACAGAAGAGGGAGATGGCGGAACTCATGAATATAGATAGGAAGAAGATTTTAATAAGTCATGTTCTGATGTGATTCTGTGCGTGATGTTTAAACATATTTGATGGTTGATGTAGCAAGGGAGATTTGGGAATAAGAGATATTAAAAATCATTTTATTATTATGTACTGTTATTTTTTCAGGAAATTGAGGGCAGCAAGTTTAGTGTAGTCACACATTAAGGAAGAATGGAGGGTAAGATGGGGATAAACTTTTTTTTTTTTTTAAACTGTAGAAAATAAAACCCAAGCCCAGGGTCTTGGTTGTGTTAATGCATTATTTTTATTGTTCTGTGGCATTAAATAATAACTAGAATATTCAAGTGTGTTTGCTTACAGCAGCAAGTCCATGTGAACAAAGAAAAACAGGCTACAGTGTCTTAAAACGTAAATTGTTTGCATAAGAGATATATCAGAGTTGTATCTTAAGTTCAAGCACTTAAAGAAATTCAAGTGTTGAAAACTGAGAGCAGTTGAAATCAGTTAAGGTGTCAGTTGTAAAAGGTGAAAGCAGATGAAAGCAGTTGAAGTGTTCAGTGAATTTGAAGCACTGAAAGGGTTTGAAGTGTCTAATGAAGTGTGAAGAGCTGGCTGGCTTCTTTCTCACATCCACACAGCTGACGGATCGACTGGATGTGACTGTCAGATTACAGGCTTAAGAAAGTAACAGAAATGATCGGACATGGAGCTCCTTAAAGTGATGGTTCGGGTTATTTGACGCGGGGTTGTGTGAGGTAGTCATGCATAGTCAGAGTGTTACCTGCAGTATATATATATTTTTCTCTATCGCTGAACTACCGTTTTCCTACGCACAAGTGAACCTACAGCACGCACTGTATTACGCCGCAGCTGCAGGTCAGCTGAGTGAATCAGAAAGAGCTAAACTTCACTTTGCTTTGATGGGAAGATAAAGCGCTGAGAATATTCTAAATGAGATGTACATTTAAATGGATATTGGATTGTTGCGGTGGGCATCTAAAACACATTTTTTTCTGCCGGCCCTGTGCACAGCAGCACAGCAGCACAGCGCTCTGCCTCTGTGTCGGTGCTCCTGGCTGCTTCTCTAAACCCACACTCTTGGAACTGCTAATGAATTACTTACAATCTATATACTGTACATAAAGTACTTAAAGGGCATACAACTACAGACTCAAATTTTAAAATCTGTACATCACTTTCTGCGTTGCAGTGTTTTGAGGAAGCTTCATGATTTATGACTCACATGATATTCAAATGCCATAAATTCACCGGAGTAGGGCTTCATATAAAATTGAGATTGCTGAATTGTTAGTTTATAAATAAACATACAATTCTGTAATGAAAAAACAAACAAAGTAAAAAGAGGTCAACTTTCCACTTATGTTTGTAGACTCATATTCCTCAGCAGATCACAGATTAATCAAAAAACAACTTTTTCTGCCCGAATTTGTGATGAACAAAGATTTCAGATGCCGTTCATATCCAGACAGTGTCTCAACATGCCTACACCCTACATGACCAAACACTTAATTGGATTTAACCATGATCATTTTTACTCCCATTGCTCTTTAGTAAGCATCGGCTCACGAAATCTATTGCAAATAATGCCTGACCATGATTTATTCATAATGTCAGTCAATCATAAGGACAAACTCTATCTGGAACAGGAAAGCTGAAGAACACTTGCGAAAATTAGATGCATTATTCAAACTATTCTGCTGTTTGGCTTTCCAGAGGTAATTCAATCATCCGGCCCCATCACAGGCTTTTAGCAGGGAACACACAATCATATTAGCAAGCGAGAAAAAAAAAAATACATTCATACTTCAATTCGTTCGTACCTATTTTGTTAAAAAAAAAAAACAAAAAAAAAAGACAAAGAGAAAGTGTAAGAAAAAGTGAACTCAGCAGCCCATTTCACCAAATGAACCACTCAAAGAAAATGACCATGTAACGTTTTGTGTAAATGTACAAACACTTTTTCTGTGTACCAGAACACAAGGGAAAACCATCAATCAAATATGTACTGAAGTATGAAATCAAGCTGGCCGCTCAACACAGTGAATTCAGTGTGAGGGTTTTTATTCAGACTCAAGTCAATTCTAAAAGAAGGACCATTAAAAACTCCCACACTGGTGCGATGAGGTGCACATGTTTGTATGGTTGCACCAATTTCCTGTTTTTCTTTGTCAGATGTATAACTAAGTCAGCAGCTTGAAAGTCATTTTTGTTCATTACATAAGTACAGATATTTATAAAGTAATTCCAAATTTGGGGATTATAACCTATGACAGACATTGACTCTTTTATGGTCTACAATTAAAGATTCCGACTACATCAGAGAGGACATTGAAAATGAGTTATAGACTCACAGGAACTTCAATAGCCTGAAGATTACTGTGTTTCATTATGTATATACAGTATCCACTGTGATTTACACTGCCTTATTAATGTTTCCTGTACATGATCTTAATAAATACTACACCTCTTAAAGTTTTTAACTTTACAGGATGTGGAGTTTAGATTTCTACCTTCTCATTGATACACGTGACAGTTTAGCATGTGTGTGGTCCACTTTTTCAAAGTGCCAACTTACAAAAATAGTTTCTCTAAAAAAAGGATGTAATCTTATATGTAGCCTCAATTCATGCTACAAAAACACAATCACTAGAAGTATACTCTGTTGCCAGTTTATTAGGTGTACCTGGCTAAAACTAACAAAACAGAGGTTTCTGTTATTTAGCCTTCCTCACTGATATAAATGGCATGAACAAAATAACAGAAACACCTGAAACACCAGTATAACACAATGCAGTTCAATGGCATCACAAACTCCAGCCTCTAAAGTGAGTTATGGCAGGACAGCTCTATTAGACTGCATTAGTTTAAAGTGTATTCATTACATTATCTGAAGTCACCTGGGACAGATCTGTAGAGTAGCCTGACTGGGATACAATATTTGCCACTGAAGAATGTGTTATGGGGAGTCACAGATCTTAACTAAGAAGACTCTACAGCCGGAGTAGCGTCTCTCCTAGGCTGTGCTTAGTCACAGTGTTGCCTGTGATGGACACTGACAATGCTAAAAAGCCAATGTTTAGCTGGCACATTATTTACCATGTTCACAATCTTAATTTAGCGTGTTTGCATGGTAACATTAGCTAATTAGCACTCAATACAAAATATAGCTCAGGCTGATGGGAATGTCATTAGTTTTGCAGGTGTCGAAAACCAATTATCAATATTATTTAGGAAAACAGGCGCTACTCCCACCACTATCAATCCACCCTTTAACGGGCTTTGTTAACAAACGCTACAAATGGACATCCACACACAGGAGAATTCATTATCTGTCAACATGAACATTTGGGTACCTAGGGAGGACTTTGATGTCAACAATTCTTTAGACCTTTCAGCCACGGTTTGGGACTGAGAGGAAGTGACCACAGTGACAGAGCACCATTAGAGACCAAAGTCCAGGCTAAATTAGGATGGATAAATGAGGAGGGCTCTATAAAATTGGCTGCTGTGAAGTGCTTACAAAGACGAAAAACCAAATGAGGAAAAAAGAGCTGCAATTTCACCCCATTCCTTTTCCAGCAGACAAACAATATGGCACGGTGTCCTGCTGCATTCGGTGTAACAAGCTGTGAGCAGGAGGGTTGGCAATTTAGTGCGTGAGAGAGGGAGGTGCACAAAAAGAGACCACAATGACCAAAACAACCAGAAAGAGATGACCGTGGAATACCAAAGCCTGGTAAGATACTTTAGTAATTATCTAAAATCAATCAAGTTTTACTAGGAACTGATTGATTATAAAGAGTCACAAGCCAAACAGTTGTATTTAGATTATAATTTCACAGTTTCACGTGTAAAATCTTAGTCTATGAAAAGTGAATCATAACTATAGCTTTCAGTTAAGTTGGCTGGAGTAAAAAGTAGTTGTTGGAGTAGAAGTATATATATACTAATAGTAAATACACTAAAAGTAAAGTAAATACACTACTAAGTAAATACACTAAAAAACCAAACCACTAAAATAAAGGTATGTGTCTGTATTTTGATTTTCTCAACAACCGTATCGTTACCGTATATCACACAGGAGATGTGCAAGGAAAAAAAGGAGGGAACAACTGAACCAGAAAAACCTGGTGTCATTTGAAAGGCCTCATTAACAAATCTCTCTCCAATTATAGCAGCAATGATAGCAAGGATAGCAACAGCTGCAATCAGTTGCCCTGATCTCAAGTTTCTCACAGGTATTTAAAGAAAGTCCCAAAATAAATGGCAAAATCAATTCTCATTCATTTAGCATATTCAATCCATTCAAGAACCTGACAGGGGAACATCTGCTCGTCTGTTTAACGAATAAATAAATAAATAAATAAGATTTTAGTGCGAAATATGCAAAGGTTCCTCCTGCTTCCTCTGTCTTACACGGATAATAAAAGCTGCAGGAATCAAAAGAACTGAGACAGAACATAATCTCTCAGTTGTCATAACACTCTACACAACACTTTATTTCTAATTGTTTCTCAGTTCTCAGAGGATTCAAGTAGTGATGGATCTGTTGTACATGCCTTTCTCTTTCACTCAGTGACGGAAACTGAATACATGAAAGTGAAATGAAAGTGCACTATAACAAAACACAAATCTTTTTACACTGTTAAAAAACAGCTGTTTGTTTTTGGAAGCCAATGATATTGCTATGATACCCAACTACACAGATGGCATCACATCACACACAGATATTTCCAATGCAGTATTTGAAGACTGAAATCTGTATTTGAACCTGTAGTACTGTGCTCTTACCTCAGAATGAACTCTCTGAACGTGGGAGTGCAGGTTCCCCTTCTGGGAGAAGGAAGCAGGGCAGAACATGCAGAGGTGAGGTTTCTCTCCAGTGTGTCTCACCATGTGAGTCTGCAGCACCACCTTCTGGTTGAAAGCCTTGCCGCAATGTGTGCACTTGTAGGGCCTCTCACCTGAGGAGAAGGGCAAGGTCAGGTCAAACAGGAGCTCTCAAGAGGCTGGAATTGTAATTTCTAGAATCTAAATGAATAACTTCAAAATAAAATGAAAATAGTGATGGCTGGGTGCCTCTTTAAGATATCCTCACACATCACTCTCTCCTGTTAAATTCGGACTATTTACAGCAACGTTTGAGGCAGGTTACAGCAGTGGATCACTAAATGATTGTGACGTCTTTTGAGCAGAATTGACTTTAAAAAACTTACTTGAATGTTTGAATTTTGCTAAAATTATGTTGTTTCCTTTACCGTTTCAACAGAGTTTGACATTTTTTTAATTAATTTAATAATTTAGCCAGAAAATAAACTACATGACCCCCCCCCCCCCCCCCCCCCCCCCCCCCCCCCCCCCCCCCCTCCCCCCCCCCCCCCCCCCCCCCCCCCCCCCCCCCCCCCCCCCCCCCCCCCCCCCCCCTCCCCCCCCCCCCATCGCTCACCCCCATGGCTGTGTCAATCTTTAGGACTTATACTCAACAAATCCACTACTGAGTCTGTTCTTATAGTAATGCATAATGAAATCGCTCTAATTTCAATATCAGTTTGACTATGCAGAGAGAGAGAGAGAGAGAGAGAGAAAGCAAGAGAGAGAGAGAGAGAGAGAGAGAGAGAGAGAGCATATTGTCTCTATGTGTGTTTCTGTAGTTTCCCAAAGTGACTCTTCACCTCATCAGCTTAAGGGCTGTTTGAGATTCGAAGCACAGAGGAATCAACTCCATCCACCATTACTCATACAGCCAACCAGCAGAGCAAACAAATTAACATGTGGATGATGTGTAAACAACATGTGGGTGGAAGCCACTGGCTACATTGCCTGAACTCGGGCAGCTGAACAACCGCAGAGAAACACAAGAATATTAGAATTTAAGCAGCATATTGAAATTCTACCCACACAACATCTCTGCATGGCAGCTAAATGATAAATTGAGCTAAAACGGAGAGAAATGGAGTGTGAACACAGCATACCACTCAGGAGTCAGTGGGCTTATGTCTGGAGTCAGAGTATCGAAGAAAACTTCATCAGAGAAAGTTCAGTTTAGAAAAACAAATGTGAGTCTTCAGTTATGCAATACTGCCTAGAATCCAATTTAGGAGCCATTAAAAAAATGAAATCAAAAGAGAAAACTCGCAACTCTCATTTTTGTGCCTGCACTGCCCACACGCCCACAAACTCTCCTGCTGCACCCACAACATACGGGACAGCAGGTTATTGTTGAGCCTGATGCCACATCCCACCCATACCTTGGAAAAGATCCCCCTCAAGTTTTGCAGAACCTGCAGACCAGCGTCATCCACTTGGGAGCTTTTACAGTAATTCCTCTGAGCATGACTCACTGGATATGCATTATATCTCCATAACCTACACATATCATCCCGCTTCAGTGCTTTTCACTCACCTGTGTGTATTCGTATGTGTCTGACGAGCTGGCTGGGCTTTTTGAACGCTTTTCCGCAGTGATGGCAGCTGTTTGTGAACCCACTGCGATCAATGTTTTTCTTGTAGTTTCTGGAGCTAGAGGTGAGCGGCCTGAGGAATGAGTAAACACCAAAAAATGTCAAAATGCTTTTATATAACATGCACTGACAGAGGATCACAGGTAATTATCAAAATCACAGCAATACACAATAATACACAAATCCTTTACATGTTTATAGTAATTTCTGCACCATGGAACAAAAAGGTGCAACTGAAACTGTGACAGCACATGGTCACTTTGCATAATGTTTGCGCAGCAGTTTGTAGTCACCAATCAGATTTAAGTTGATTAAAAATATGAGACTGTGCAACACAAAAGACTCACACTTTGGTGTGACATCTTTAACAAAATGTGACTGAAAAGTTATTTTCTTCTCAGATGTGTACTCATCAATGATCTGATGTTTTCATATATTAACTTGTGGTGTTTTATATCTGTCTGACTGTATTGTTGGTTTAGGATTGATAGGACAAAGTGTTGTGTGACATTTCCTCCAGTTTCTCTTACTTTTGTAACTTTATTACATAGAAATTGCTTTTTATCATTTTTATATGCATCCGGACTATAGGTGCAAATTTGCTGTTGAGCTAACACTGCCATGTTTACACTGATGCCGTTAACATTAGCCTCGATTAATGTGCACTGTCTCATATAAACAAATAAGGTGCTAATCATTGCTTTCAAGAGCCCCTGCTCTTAGCTTTTTATACTGCTCTTTCTGATGGATTTGAACTGAAGTGAAGGCACATCGGCTGGAATTTCAACTAGATTCACTTTATTATACCAATTTTTTTTTAGTTTCACAGTGCACTTAGTAGTGTTTTTATATTGCAGAGCATTGTACCACAATATATTGTCACATGCCAAATTCGTAGACTATGGATCTATGGTGTTTGACCATCTCAGTTGATTGGGTATTTTCTGTTGCCTTCACTTGTCTGCAGTACTGACATTCTTTGGTCGCTAGTTTTAGATCCAATCACATGTACAGAATAAGATGCACTCGAGACATCCTTCCAAGTTTTTCTTGTTATTGTTGCTGTTGCAAGTCCAGTTTTTGACCTTGGTAACGGCCTATAGAAGGTTTGCACACAGCTCTGAGAACAGTTGCCCTTTTATAGGATTATTTGAACATTTACATATTGATGCTTGTGAAAAAAAAGTGAATTCAGTTTACAAGGTTGAAGAATAAAGTACAAAAGTGCAGTTATTTCATTCCACTAAATGCCAAGACCGTCTGTGTGTGTCCACAGGCGGTCAATACACGCATTTAGAAACTCAGATATTATTGAGGGATGGAGGTTTATCCCTGACCACAGTTAGTGAATATTTTTCACCATCAGAATCTTCAGGGAAATAATGCCTGCATCATGGAGGATTATACAAAAAATTTCAGTAGTGTCATTCTGTACAATTTGTAATGAAATCTGCTACTAGCCCACCTAAAAGATTTTCACAAGAATGTCTTTAGATTGTAAATTGTGCCTAGAACAAGATCCTACTACTTCCTTTTAATAGCTGTTAGACTCAAGCAGTTTTCTACCTGACACGGTCAAATGTAATAAAGTAATGTGTGAATCCCTGTCTGACCTCATCTTGACATGACTCTTTGTGTGCTCCTTGAGGTGTGAAGACGTCTTGAACTCCTTTTCGCAGGTCTTGCAGGTATAGACCTTGATGCCCGACAGCTCCTTACGGTGCTCCTCCAAGTGCAGAGAGAGCTGGCTCTGGAGAACAAACTCATCTCCACACTCTGCGCAGATCAGATTCTGCAGGGGTTGTCACAAAGTAAAGAAAGGAGACACAAAAAAAGCTATTTTTTTATGCATACAGAAAGTAAATCATGACGGTTTGATGTTTGATAGATGAGGCGACTAACCTCCTCCTTCTCGTGCAGCATGATATGAGATTTGAGACTGGCGATGCGGGAGAACTTCTTATTGCACACGGGGCAGGTGAAGTCAGAGGTGGTGTGTGTGGACTTGTGGAGGGTGAGGTTGAAATCCACGTTAAATGTCTGTGGGCACAGGTCACATCGATGGGGCTGCAAAGGAAGAGAAGACGACTCAAATAAACAGTGAATAATGCTAATAGACCTCACACCTCTCTCTGCAATACAGTCCTTGTAGCCGCTAACTCTTACTCCCGCTGGAGACAGTGTGGATAGACAAAGCAGATGGAGTCCATATTGCATTTCAGTCAGTGTGCTACTTTAACTGACTGAAGCAACTACATTTGCTGTTAAGGGAAGAGACAGAAAAGACAGAAAACCGCAGTGCTTAAGTACAGAATATCTCCAGAGAACGTAAAAAAATATTTCTAATGAGGCAGAAATAGCTCCAATATTAAATTCCATTTCTATAAGAGGAGCCGACTGACTTCATTTCAAAGTTTTTTCTAAATCGTGTGATGGCGGAGAGTAACACACTGACACCGGTGAGTCTCACTCAGACTGGCAGACCCTGAGGGTACCGCGCTTCAGTCTAGAGAAAGTGCCAGTGTAGGTGAAGACAGTGGCCTTGAAATTGAAATGGCCCACAACTATTGGTAGAGGTGCAACTGAAGTGAGATGTTGTATTTTCATTCCAAAAGAGATGGTCAGGAGAGGTGACCAAAGCAGAGAGTTTCCCTTACTCAACGTTCTTGTTAATAGCATGGAGTGAAAAACCAAGCTCCTTAGTTTCAGTAAAGAGAGAGAGAGATGCAGCGAGACAGCAAGTGTAGTGCATCGGAAAAGGGGAGAAGGCAAAAGATTTGAAAAGATGTGAGTGTTGCTGGAGCTATAAGCAACTGCTAAATGGAGAGACTTAGCAACGATAAAAACTTGCATTACTCAGCTTTAATTACTGCACATTTATTCTGCTTGTGTACTTTTAAAAACATGCATTATTTATTAGAAAACATGATTTTCCCCAACAAAAAAACATCTGCTGCTCCTCAGAGGAATAAGTTCCCACACAAATCAGTCCAGTCACTCTGCCGACTCCAAGAGAGTCACATCATCACACTGTAGCTCCTTGATGGGCAGTAACATCCTTCACACAGTATATCAACACATGATAATTATCATACATTATAAAGCGTGATCTGCCTCCAAGAATGAAAAATTAGCAGCACCCTTTGACTCATCTGATGACTCAAGCGCTATTAACGTCTCTGAGTTACTGCAATGTTTATTTTAGGATTTCCCTATGTAGGAGCACATAAAGTGGTAGGAGGGAATGGAAATTGATTCAAAAGGCCACTGAATCAGATTTACTATTACTGGCAAGTGACCGCTGCAGCAGACTGTGGCTGTGAGTCAACATCTAGTAATATTGACAGTGCTATTCAAGACGGTTATTGACCAACACAGAGTGTGAGACCCCAGCCAGGGGTGGTGAGGTGGGGTTGGATAAACAACTTCTTCCCTTCTCAGCAAAATTTCAGTTTCAGTTCTGCTGTAAATTCTCTACAGCAACAAAACACAAAAAAACAACAACAATGCAATGCAGCAGCAGCAGTAAATGTATGCATTTTTCCCTGGAATAACTCATAGTGAATCCAGTCAGCAGCCATTCACATATTCTTATCAAGTGAGTTTAAACATTTGAACAACTACTAAAACTCTCCCATACTGATTTTCCATTCATGCAGGTTTGAGATTGTGTCACTGCAGGTTCATGACAGTTTCCACTATTCAAACTTCAGAAGCAGAGAGCATGCGCTTTTGTGCTGCTTTGCTTTTGACCAGCACAACAAGACACATCTTGAACAACCCAGCATTAGGTCTTATTTGGCAGCAGTTTATTCAATCAGCTCAATTGAGGCTGTGCTCATTCACATCCTCAATATTAGTAAACACTCCGGTTAAGTGAAAGCATGTGGCAATACAAAATTGTGTGGATCTAATGTAATTGTGCATACGGGCGAGTAAATGACTCCAGATATGTCCTGCATGACGAAGATCCAGGACAATGTCCACCGTGGTGCTGGTAACAGAAAGCTCCAGACATTTGGGGGCTGCCAAACAAGCAATGGCATCTGGTAGTTTAAAATTTCTAAATTGTGAAAAATCATCTGGGCTGAAAAATCCAGGACAGCTCCAGCTTTGACGATAAGCCGCTAGCTTGCACCAAATCCAACCTGTAGCTGGGACATCAATATGCCATCCATTTCGGCTCCGACTACACCTAGTCAGTTAATATCTTCAGGTGAAATTGTGCAATTAGGAGTTTCCTCAAGTCCTACAAAGTGTTGAGTTTTTTGTTGTACTTTGTGAAGGTAATCCATAACAGGTTAACAACCTCACGGATGAGTCTTACTGCTGCTGTAAGGCTTGCATGCTGTCACCCCTACCTCCATCACATCTCCCATTTGTCCAGCTGCCTCGTGGTGCCTGACTTTATACGACAGCATCTTGCTGAACTTTCTGATTGATAGGCACAACAAATATGAGTCTTTTCATCACAATTGGAAGTCAAACAGCTGTGATTCATTGGTGCTGTTAACTGCAGTGGAAATGCAATTACCCAATAAATATTTTGCTTTGCAGATCACATTTTATGTTAAATTACTATGTCAGAGCACTATGAAAACTACCCTGAAGGTGGCCTTATACAAAGCACTTAAATCTCAGTTGCTCCAGGGTAGCTGTTTTCAGGCCAATAATAACAGTGTGGTTCTACTGGGCACCTGTTTGACCAACAACAAATGGATGCAGTCCCACTAAGAGAAATTTGAATGTTTGAATGTTGTAAAAAATACAAAATACATGTGCAGATGCCATAGACCAAGCATGCTCTGCTTACTTTTTCTGGATAAATAAAGGTTAAAAACTGTTACACGTTCACTTCTTTGTCATGGCTGACTGCCGTCACCTCCGTGCTGTACTTGCCTTATCGTTGACCTCATGTTCACGGAGATGCTTCTGCAGCTGACTCTCAGTGGTGAAGATCTGACAGCATATCGTGCACTTCTTGTCCTTGAGCTCTCCATCACTGAAACTTTCCCCTTTAGTTTCACTGGGATCCACATCTGACGAGAAGCACAACAGAGAACACTTCAATATCTTGATTTGGTTTTAGAGGCTTTCTCCTGACAGGAATAGTTCAAGTATACGATAGAGTGCATCTTCAACTACACAGATGCTGTGCTCGGTGGCTTTACTGTTTGCATCTGAGTAGTGTTTTTCATACAGTATATGATACATCATATGACAATCCTCTCTGGAAAATTTCAAAGTAGTGCTAGATATTGAAGTGGCTGCATACTATGGACATGACCTGGCATCACCTGGCATCCGCATTAATTCAGTGTTCCTTGAAGTGCAGGGATGAGTATGAGTTTCAGAAATAAGTAGAGTAGGATAGCAGTGGACCAAAGCTCATAATGAAAATAATAGTACTGAACTGAGCTTGCAGATATTTCTCCTATAAACAATATTTTAAATTAGATTGTTTTCATTTAGATTAATGTGATATCCTTCCTACTTCAGACAATCATACCCACTAAAATATCAGAGCTTAGTGATACATTAGTCTACATTAGTCTAGTCTGATGTAGGTTTTGAAGGAAAATAAAGATTTTATAATTCAGAGGGGGGTTGAAATCAATGACAGAAACTATTCTAGACTTTGATTTCACTCTATTAGCTTAAAGTACACGGTACATTTACAGTCTCGGGAAAAGACAAGATTATTTCACGTTTCGGCTGGGAACCTGTTGTTGGGTATTCAACAGATTGGGCTCACAAGCCCATCTTCGCTGTCACGGCTACAGGCAAGACCAACTCAGTGTGTGCTTGATTTATAGGACACGAATCCAATGTGAAATTTGTGTTTGATGTGACGTTGTGTTGATTTTGTTGACAGTCAAGTTAGTTCACCCATCATCTCAATCACATGGTAACGTTACAGATAAGTTATCCGACTAACGGGTTAACATACTAAGCTAAATATTGTATTCCGATGCTTGCATCAACATGCTAGCAACCTGGATGCATTCCGATAACACATTTCAATACTTCTTTAGGTCATGTTAATTCGTGAAAGTGACAACTTGTTCTGGCCATACACAACTGGTCCATCAGCAGCTGGACAGCCTCGCAACAGCGCTTCACGGGATCAAAGTAACAATGGACAATATTATAGCGTGTTAGCTCCGAAGCTAACGATAGCAAAGCGAGCTAGTTAGCAACAACAAGCTAACGACGAATTACAAATAAACAAATATAAGGTGTAAACAGTGTACATCAACTAACGTTATACGACATCGCGGTTCTTCCCCTTACGGACACCAATTTAGACTGGAAGCCAATAAGAAGAGGCACCGAAATGTTATTAATATCATTCCGCCTCAATCACTCCTTCGCCGCACAAAGCAAAGCCCACCCGCAATACTATATCCGGGGACTATATACACTACATTGAAGTGTTATTATATACGCTACAGAGATGTTTATCCAGTCAATAACAGGTTATTTGGATAGCCCATAATCGGTATTTTTTATTCGTTGCATTTTGGTACTTGTTACCTGTTTCGTCGTTGCTTTTAACTCTCAGTTTGCGAGGCCGGCCCCGCGGCATAGTTCCAGTACTCAGGGCGGGTGTGCTGTGAACGATTTGCTTTTCAAAATGGCGACTCTCGGTCATCTGTAGGCAGCGGCGTACCCATGAAGACACACAGCTGCACGGAGTAGGGAGACATCTACCGTTTGTATCATTGTACATGCATACAGGTACACACAAAAACAACAAGTTGTAGCTCTTCTGATAATGGGAGTGGGATACGTTATAATTGTGAATAACTAATGAATGTCATATTTATAGTATGTGCACATTGATGGTGTACACCTGGTTATTTCTGTCATTTTGTTCTTCCTGTTCTAAAATAATGTGGCTGAATCCAATGTAAATGCCCTACTTTAAAAATATGTAAGGAACATGTGCATACAGTGGGGTCCAAAGGTCACAGACCACTTTCCCATCACCAACTCTAAGTTTTTAGTTATTTATGAGAAATAAATTGGCACCTTTAGCCTTGCTGTTAGCTGTGTAGTAAACCCTCAGGGGCCCTGAATGCCCCATGAGTCTGCTGGTTTTGTGCTAATATTACTTACAGAAAATTGTTTGGCAATATATACCACTAAAACACATTGCAAGCTGCACACTGAAATGATAAGGCCCAACAGGTAAAGGTGCTACATTACCTGTTCTGTGTACCATAGGTTAAATTTACACCATGAATATTCCTGAGTTAATTTTTGTTCAAATATAATTAATAGAGGCCCGTAGCCACCAAGCAGTTTAATTTGGCCATGTATACAACAGTAAACAAACTGTTTAAACTTTGAAAGTGAACATGAAAAAAAGGAATTTAAAAGGAAATGTTTAATTCACAAGTTCAAGTATTTTCCAAACATAGCAATCATCAAGCAAGCTGTTTATAAAAGATTGTTACCCTAATGAAAAAGAACTATGGAGGGATGTCATAAATGTTACAACAAAACTATAGATTTTCAGTTGAAAATATAAGAATATTAAGGTTATAATTACATTGATTATATTAAGAGAAAGTCACTTATCTTGAGTCTTACTAACACACTAAATTGTAATTCGAAATAGAAAAATCCTAGTTCTAGTACTATAGGAGAAAAAACACAACAAAGTATATGAAACTCAGTATCGATTGCCAGTGACACATATAGTACCTGCAGATATACTACTGGAATATTACCAATACCATATAAAAATACCATAAAGTAGTGAATGATAAGCGACTATAAACTCTTCCATGACATAGTTTAAGTCCCTTAAGAATATCAGATATAAAGATATCGTAAAGTGTGATATGTTACTTTTGAACTCACAACTGAGCGCCTTAGACAATATCATATTGATTTTCCAACAGGGTAGGAGGCACGTTGTAAAATGTCTTTGCTGTCTCCAGCAGAGGGAGGCAATGAGTTATGAATGGCTTTTGCCATTTATGGGCCAATAATCCTGTAGATGCCAACAAGCTGACTCTGCTGATGAAATAGGATTGGTCCCGTTCAGGAGTGTGCTACTGATCTCAGCTGCCTCAAAGAATGTGTGTTCACTCAGATCTCCTCTGGATCTGAACCAGTTTAATGACTCCCAGCAAACTGGTGAATTCAATTATGAATTCATTATTAAAATAAAGGAAAAACAAGTTAGTATGGATGACAAGAATGATTGAAATTTATTTGTGTAGGTTAATTGATTAGATTATCTTGGTGACCAAAAACAATAAATCTCATAATTTAAGTCAATGTTTAAAGTCATGGGATGTGTGTGAATGTTTATCTCATTAGAGAAACATTTACTGTACAAACAGAGGAAGTCTGACATAAGAATAGAATGGACCAATCATGGAATTTTATTTTGACCCCACATAGTATACTTTTGATTTTATTCTTTTCAGAAGGAGCTACAGTATCTGCATGTGCTGAGTGTAGTATTATCATTCACAATTGAAATGCAATTGTGAGAAACCTGTGTGTTCCACAAGTTACTGTTCCTGCTACCATCAGTGTTCAGAGAAGCTGTACAGGAAAAATAATTTTCCCTTCTACATTATTCTACAATTTAAACTTCTGGTACAACTGTTTGATGAGCTAGTAGATAATTGACCTCAAGTACTCCATTCAGAGCACTGAGTCATATTCTACATGCTAAACATAGTACATGTTCCCTGTATTTGCTGCCTGTAAAGTGTATGTAGTGTTAACAATGGTGAGTAGTATAGATACAGAATAAAAAACATTTCTGTGTAGTTTGGAGTAAAAACAAAAAAAAAAGAACCACAAGGAATAGTCACCTTGTCTGAACAAAGAAATAAGGTGCCACCTAAACTACATGTTTTTCATTGAGGAATAAAAAAAGAGTGTTTTACCTCCTAAAAATCTTGAAATATCCCATATACACACAAACACACACCAGGATTATGTGCAACTGTAAAATATTATCATCCCCATAAATAGATGCCCATCTGTTGTATGGGTGTATCTTTAGCAGGGCGTAAATCATACTGCATATGAGCCTGATTGCCTCAGCAACATTTTTCCCCGCTATATAGGCCTACAGGTGGAAAGCCGTGGCTCTTTTGCTGTGTTTTTCTTTGTTTCCAAAAAGGGGAAGTCAGCCCCTTGACTTTTAGCGAATAAGCAACCAACCAAGTGCGTGTTCATTGTGTAAGAACATCTGTTCCTGCCACGCCGCCAGTTACTCTGCCTGTCCCCTCGCGGCTGCGCAGGCCACTGATCTCACCACTGAAAACAAAAGACTGGACATCACTCTGACCTTGTGGAATTGTCCACGCCCCTCTTTCCTCCCTCTCCTTTTTTTTTTTTTTTTTTTTTTATTCTTTGCACTGTGGTCGGCTCTCTTTCCTCTCACCGCAGTCAAGAGGAGAGTGATCAATCATTAAAATTGTCATGGGCTCTGGGAGTGGGGTTGTCAGGAAGCCCATCTCTCCAGGAGACATGCTAAAGTCATGTTGTGAAAAACATGCTGAGAGGGGAAAGAGAGTGAGAGAACTGCTGTTGTTGACTCCTATCTCTAGCCTTGTCATTCATGCTAACAAGCGTCAACAACAACACTGGCATCAACGATACCGGCTGAGCTTTTCCTCAGACTAGACTAGACATGAGTCAGACTTGAAAATGTGGTGCTTGTTTGCATCCCTTTGCAGATGAGAAACCTTGTGAAAACCCCTGTGCAATTAAAGATTTATTCCTTGATGTTTTAGCAGTCAGAAGCTTCGGTTGCAATTTATTGACATCAGACTATTCACAGTTAGAACAGAAACATCCACTGACTGAAGGGTCTTTGCTGATTTTGACTTGTATGTTTCCCCTTTCAAACCAGGACATTGTTGTCTGCAGCTTCACCACCACCTCGCACAGAGGCAGACAAAGACTAAGTCAGACTCCCATCTCAAACAAAGGAGAAATTCAGACCCAATATTCTCCATATGAAGCATGAGGCCGGGCTGTAAATTCCTCGATGGCAGTAAGGGGGGGGGGTGTGACAGGTCTTACGATGACCCTTGGAATGACCTTGTTCAGTAACATTTCACATCCTGCCAGTGCTTCTTCTCCCAGGTGTGGCAGAGTCTCCCCCTGCGCTGTCAGAGAGCACTGTCCGGATCCATGAAACCAATCATTCTTCGGCATCATGGAAACAGCATCTGACAGCCACGGTCGCCATGGGCGTCCTCTCCTGTGACCATCCTCAACGGGGGACCGGGGAGGTAAGGCCATGCTCAGCAACACTCTCTGGACTGCTGGCTCTCTGCTTTAGTGAAGAAGCTTCCTGAACATGCAATGAATTTTTATGTTTTACTTTGAAAAGTCAAACATAATATAAAGCACAATGAACCCTTAAGATAGAATATTATTATGAATTCAGCAAACGGAAAATTTCACTGTCAGTGATTGAAACACACAATAAGAATTACAATGAGATGTTGTTATGGGCATGCACCTTTTTCAAAATAACACTAGTCGAGGCTTAGAGTGTCAGAAATCAGTAAACATTAGGTGTGTTATGAGAGCTGCAAATGAAATGTAGGCAGTAAGAAAAAATGTGAATTATGCAGACATTCTCAGCGGTAGTGTTAGATATTCATATGTACACAAAGTGTCTCAGAGCGCAAACGTGTGCTGTTATAACTACTTATTTTTTCACACACACAGACCTCAAGCAAAAGTAAAATAAATGCTGTTAGATGTGACTGAGTCGGTGTGATAGCCATTAGATTTTATTTCACCCTCCCATCGCACCACATTGGTTTGTCTCTGCCTACCTTTGTCTTTTGTCTTGTGCAATTCTCTGTCAGCGTACTGTGCAGAGGGATGTGGAGATAAGGGAGTTGTTTCTGCATATCTACCATTTAGCCTCCCACTGGGGTGTTAGAGGGGGAGAGGGGAAGGAGGAGGGTGGTGGTTGGTGTGGGGAGAAAGCATTATACAAACAAAACCACACGGCCAATGGAAAAAGGTGCACACATTAATACAAACTAAACCTGAGCTGCTCTAAAATAAAGCCCAACTCACGGTCAGCTGTGCTTGAAAGATGAAATAGCATTGCAGGAGTGTTTTGTAATCAATAATGCATGGCTGTCCATCTTCGGAAAAGAGAAAGCCCCTCCAAACACACCAGAGGCATCAGACACTCTTCATTTCATGCTGAAGGTCAGCAGAGCACCATGGACGTCCCTACAGTACATAATACGAGGAAGTGAACACGTACAGAAAAGAGTTTTTATATTCGCTCCTTCTATTCATAGATTTGTGTTCATATAGTGTCAGGGAGGGACAATTTTAATAGATGAGAGTCTTCTGATGAAGTGCTTATAATGTAATCAGGGTTGTTCCAAGATAATTATGTAATCTGATCGTTAATGTAGTCTAATACTTTTCACTAACAAATTTAAGATGCAAAGATGGGTCATGCCTTAGATTACAGACCAGAAGTTACAGAGTAAATATTTTGTACACACAGGTTACCAAGGAAATACTTCAAGCTCAGGAAACAAGGGGTTAAAGAGAGGGGTGCCTACA